TTATAGATGCTGTGCACTATTTCGGTCAAGATAAAAAGTCAAGAGATGTAGAAATGAAACAAGACTTGAGGTTCATCGGCTTATAGCCCGCCTTTGATCCTCTTTGTATTCTTAAACTGGCAGCTTAAAGCATCTTTACTCAATAGTTCTATTTTTGGACTTTTTAATTTAAGCCTTGAAGTTTTCATTTCCATTGGAGCTTGTGATCTTTAGCCTCGGATGCCTCTCTCAATCGCAAATCGTGGCGCATTATGACATACGAAGATAATATGCCAAATTGCACATGATTATACGATAGAAGATTAGGTCGGACAGAATGAGATCAGATCGCAATCCGAGGGCAGAGGAGATGATGCCGCTGTCAACCTTTCTGTGCTCGGCTGTTTATGCAGGATGTGGCTTTAAGAAAATCCCACATTGGCCTGAATATGCATGCTCTCATTTCACATTGGAATAAAAAAAAGGCACAAGTCATCAAAGGGACAAAAGCCAAGGGATGCATGAAAAGGATTTACCTGATACGGGTATGATACACATATTAGGGTGAAAGGATTGACTGGAGGTGATTCACAACCTCCAGTCTATGCACACATACACACATACACACACAGAGGAGGGGCTGGAGGGGGCAAACGTGCTGCAACAGGCAAGATCTGAGGGGAACAGAGCAGCTTGCAAATTGAGTGTTGCCTGTAAACGTGGTGAAGCAAAACTGGAGGGATGGTGAAGCTTCACGTAACAAAACACGTAATGTCATGAAGACGCGCTTCAGTCTTTGGTTCAAAACAGCAAACAGATGGAAATGTGTACATAAACCATTTACAGACTGCACGGTGGCGCAGTTGGTAGCTCTATTGCCTTGCGGCAATAAGGTCCTGGATTCGATCCCATGCCCCGGGTCTTTCTGCATGGAGGTTGCATGTTCTCCGATGGGTTCTCTCTCTGGGTAATCCGGCTTCCTCCCACAGTCCAGGATTGATTGGTCTCTCTAAATTCTCTTTAGGTGTTTGTGTGTGCATGCATGGTTATTTGTCCTGTTTGCCCTGTGATGGACTGGTGACCTGTCCAGGATGACCTTGCCCATTGACTGCTCGAAATAGGCACCAGCAGCCCTCCAGACCCCAGTAGGGATAATAAGCATGTAAGTTAAGGATGGATGCAGTTTTCCCCAGTAAATCCTCTATCCCCAAAACCACGAATGCAACTTACACCATCTGACACCATTAGAGGTTTTGGCATTTACCTGGTACTGTGGTCCGCCCTGGTGATTTCTCATATATTTCAGTACAAGTTCTCATGAAGTCTGAAAAAAATTGGGAATTTAAGTGCATTCCAGCCCTTAACTGAACAGAATAAGGAGAAATAAAACATCTATATTTTATTTCCCCAATGAATTTGTTTTCAAATTCATTGTGAAAATTAGTTTCATTGTTCACAACAACTCCTCCTGTTCGCTGATTGGCCAGGATGAAATTCATACTGACAAATCGAGATCAATGGGATTCACTGAAGGGAGAGAGAAAATACTTAAAAATACTTCTGTTAAATCAATGCTTATCAAGCCATCTACATTGAAGAACCATTGTAGTAACCTTCCAACCTTCCGCTGAAGTCTTCTGGTTCTGGTCCTGCTCTCCATCCCCAGAACCAAACACAAAGAAGCAGCATTCAGCTTTTATGCACCACAAATCTGGAACAAACTTCCAGAAACCTGCCAAAACACAGAGTTCCTTTAACTCAAGGCTAGAAACCCACGCGTTAAGTTTGCTTTGGTTAGTAGTAAGTCAAACATTTATCATTTATCCCCTGTTCGGGCTCCTACAGAGGTGTAAATTAGGCACATTATGCAACTGATAGTAATTTTACGCTAGAACCACGACTCAGCATGAATGAGCTGCCCAGATTTTCCTTCTACAGTATGTGCTGGTGAGACACTTGTTCACAGAACAGACTGCTAATTATGTAGCTGCCGGGTTATACTGGTATGTCATTTCATCAGTTATGCAAACACTCAGCTGGAGGTTTAGACCCAGCTTTCTAATAATCTGTCTTCCTGCATGTCTGTGAGACGGGATCCACTTCCTGGTCTACCAAGAAATATCCCACCTGGGAGCAACCTGAAATGTCACACTGGGCCTCGGAGCTCGAGCGAGAGCGGCTTAATTGCCTTTCTCACCCGCAAACGTGTGGGAGAGAGAGGTCACATGATCCGGATATAGAGGGGTTGGTGTGGGTTTTCGTTTCACCGGAGGGGCTTCTGTCCTCCAGTTCTCCTGCGGCACAATGAGGTTATCGGTAACACGGGGCGACACTATCTGCACTGACTCACTGACGCTCACTAGCTCTACCGTGTCCTCCCGAAGGAGGTGAGAGCGGTTCGCACTCCCGTCTCAGGAAACCGGAGAGCGAAAACCGGGAAAGGAGGTAGTTGGGACGGTAAGGGAGTGAGGGGGGGAGAGACATTCAGAGCAGATGTGAGCTGGAGGGGGAGGATGGCTCAAGAGGGGTCTAACTTCTATTTTTGAACATTTTGGACGAGGTTGTGGAAAAATAAAACAAAAAGGGGGGAAAAAGAGCGGAGAGGAAAGCAAAGACAGGCGCACGAGGCAGATAAGATTGCCGGCTACAAAGGAGAACTGCCGGAGAGAAAGAGAGAGGGAGAGGGAGGAAATGAAGGGAGGAATATATTTACCTTGAGTGACGCAGGGAGAGAAAGCAGAATCCCCCCCACCAACACACACACACTCCAAGAAACTGGAGCTGATGCGACATAATCTCTGCAGTGGGTTTGCTTTAGGGGCCACCCTGAAAATCAGGAACTCCCCCAGATAAATGTCACCTACAGGGGAAAATGTGCATTCAAGACCTCACAGTGATCACTAACCGCCAAAAATAACCTGAATTATAAAGCATAAAGTACACAAACGAATATTGGAAATGTATAAACAGAGCTGGGGAGACATATATTGTCAGTAAATAATGCAGAAGGATAACCCTTCTGCATTATTGATGGAGCAGCACAACAAAGAGAGCTATCTGTTAAATCACAAAACTTAGGTAAGGACTCAGCGCCTTGCAGTTTGCTGCAGTTGCATTAAAAGAGAAAAATTAAAACGTGTTTGTGCCTTGAAAGCGTTGTTTCTTGGTGTAAACTGTCTGCAAATAACAGGAGGATTTCTCAGTTTTGCTTTGTTGTGCTAAATTGCTGCTATGGGCAACAGCTTCAGTTCCCATATAGGCTAAAAAATGCTTCATGAATGTAAAGTGCATTGGCACAACACAGAGTTTGTACCATTGTCAGCGCTAGGCTGCCCACTAGTGGTAAAAATTCAGAATGGCAACCTGGAACCCCTCTAAGACGGCATGAACTGAAAAAAATTACATTTTCTATTCATAAAAAAATATGTCTATCATTTAAAATTAAATAAATTATGAAACGGTAACAAATGAACCTGTGTTCATACACCTTTTCATGCCTATCCACAAAGTGAAACTAAAATCTCAATCTCAACTCTTCTGGTATCTCCATCTTTCCGTCTCCGACTCAGTAACAATTTTAATTGGTCATACTCTCCACAAATCCTTGCCTCGAAGCCTTAACCTCTAATCCAGCGTCTTCTAGGACTCCCTAGGAGGAGACTATGATCCATGAACATTGATTATAGTCCATGTTTAAGATTCTCGCTGCTAATGTGATTGAGCTTTACACCATGAATAGCCTTTTCTCAAATGGAATGCAAACTCTTAAGTCAGATGTTTAAACAGATTGGTTTTGACCTTTATGTTTCATCTAAAGAAAAGGATGTCAACAGATGAACCAAATAACTCAACCGAAGCTGAGTAGGTTTTATTTGAACTGTTAAAATATTTCAGAGTAAGGCTACATCAGTTTTCACAGCCAGGTTTCATCAACAGATGAGCGGGCCGAGACTTCAGTGTGTGAAAACAAAACGTGATAGCTTAACACACCTTTAAGTTTTCACTTAGTTGTATTGGTTGCCAAGGTAACCAACCACTACGTGGGCAACTCTGATGATACTGCATGTCCTATAAAATTATTGGAGGCTGGATTTGACATGCGTTTGATTGATTTGGTTTTACTAATAAATGAGAACCACTGTAGTTTAGATGACGAGTTTTTTGAAAAACAAACTCATCAGCGACCGAGGCAAGACGGGAATGTGTCAGTCACATTTGGTTCTTCAACCTATAAGAACGACACGTGGCCTCTTGAGTCACAGAGACGGGAAGATGTACTTCGCCTCAGTTCAGACCGGTTCCCCTTTACGCTTTCATCTCGTCCTCCGAGGGGTTGGCGTGTTTCTGAATTATTAAAGAGGACAGATGTTTCTCTTTTAAAGAGAGGCCAAGATTTGCTTCTTCACCTTCAGAAAAAATTTTAAAATCTCAGACATGTTACCAAACGTATGACTTCAAAATTAAAATCTTCTGAAATGATTACAAAACAAGGCAAAAAAAGAAAAAAAAAAGATCACATTACGACTATAGAAATCGTTTGGCATGTTTAATATCTGAGGTTCTGCGACGGTAACTGAGAATTATGCTTTCCTTTTTCTTCATTATATGGGTGAAAAACTGATTTAAAAAGTAAAGTAGATTTTAAAAAAGCTTCAGTTAATTTAACAGGGATGTTTAAAGGCACCAATGATTGTGGTTAATTTAATTATTTCTACCATGATTCAAATTAACATATTTTCTACATAAAATAATCCTGCTGCCTTAAAAGATGTATTTGTTTCAGGTTTTTTGTTTCACATCTTTATCAGGGGAGCCAATAATACAGTAAACCCACCGGACACTGAGCAGACGTAAAAAGAAAGGCTCCAGAGTCATGGTTCTTCACAGATTAAGCTCTAGTCAAACAATGCAGAAACCACCCGTCTGGTTTTAGGGCTTTGAGTGTTTACTCTACCAAGATAATAAAAAGACAGACAAGTTTGGGTGTGCCACACTGAAAGTGGGAGGGGCCACGTCAGGTTTCAGGAAGAGCTGAGACTGCACCTGTTGCTCTTAGATTCACGGGAGGCTGGTGGAGGTGAAGGACTGCGGCGCTCCACGTCAGAGACAAAATAAAAAACATGAGTAAGTTCTACTTTGACATCCATGTTTTCTTAACTCTTATCAGTTTTATGTTTCATGTGAAATTTGAGACAATATTTATGACACAAACCTTGACTAAACTTTTTTTAAATAATTATTTTATTGGTAGTTAAATATCAAGTATTTGTTTATTTTGCCCGAAATCAAAAGATTCTAACTTAGAGGTGTCTTGATTTGACTTGCAGTTTGATGATGTGGTTGAAGCGGCAGTAGATGTTGTGTGTAAGTGCGCGTTTCTCCTGAAGCCAAAGCAGGAGCTGTGGGGGTAGAAGGTCCAGATTGTCTGCATTCCTTAGATAATTTCTCTCCCTCCACGGGACAGAGTGACTTTTAAAAAACCTCCAGGGAAGTAAGAATTCTCTGTTACACGTCATTCACGTCACGTCACAAAATCTGTTATGAAACTCAGTCGAGGGCTTTGCTTATCTTTCCTTAATCTCACAATAGCCGTTTGTCCCCATGTGTGTGGATGTTCGTGTTTTAGACTCACAGCTACAGAAATCGGGATGTTCGTTCAGGTAAAACGACCCATTCCTAGTGCGGTTTGGATGGTTTGAGCAATTTACATTCGGATAGGATGTTCAACGGCGTGTGAACGATTAGTGCAATGCACCGCTGGACGGCTAATGTGGAAAGTTTCACGTTAAGGCACAGCATGAGAGTTTGCAAAAAGATGAAAGAGAAGTCAATTGTACTTCATTTAAGTATTATTCTGAGATCTTTCATTCGTTTTACAAAGATTTTAAATAACCTAACATCTACTTATCAACTATGAAGTATTATGAACATGTGACTTCCATAAATTATTTTTTTTACAAGACTTAAAGGTATTTTGGTTTCAACAAGAGACACTGCTGTCATATTCCAGAAGAGTCGACATGTGGATGTGAAGATTGAAACCACATTCAACAAAACATGAGTGTACAATGGTATTTTCTAGAAAATCATGTACACATAAATTAAATTGTGCATCAGATTTCAGCATTTGTAAATATATATGTTTTTAATTCACCAAAAATATTCAGCTAAGGGAAGAAGGAATCTGTTCAAGGCTATAAAATGATATTAAATGAGGCCTTTATAATTCATGAATTTAGGTTTTGCACCACAAAAAAGCTCCACTTGAATAAGTTTTAGGTTTTAAGTGAAACGATATAGAACATTTTGCATTTGTTAGCCGTTTATTCTACTGTATACTTTAGATGTCATCATGATAGTTTTGTGGAATTTATTGTGATAACAAAATTGAAGATAAAAAAATATTTCTAAATTCTTTGCTGATTTTTCTAAGCAACTTGATGACTTTGACCTCTTCTCACTGCAGTCAAAGCCTCTACAAACTACTTATTTTTAAAAAAGCTTCCTTAGGATACAAATAATATAAAGAAGTGCGGTTTTTAAATCACTAAGCTGGACACAGTGATGGGATTTAATCATATTTTCAAAATCCATATTCCGTATCCATATTTATTGATGCTTGCATGGAACCAAAAGGAAGGAAATGGTAAAAGTAAAAATTAAAACATAATTTCTTAATTAACTGAAATGTATAGTTGCCAAATAAGTCAAAAAATGTTACAATGATGAGAGATTATTCACAAAAATAACATGACTGACGGCTCACCCTCATGGTTTTGTTATTTTTAATGGGCAGTTTCAGTGAAGTTCCCAGACGTGTTTATTAGTCATCATGACTGCAGGTGTAAAAACAACAATCTAGAAACTTCATAATTTCTATGGGCAACTTTTGTCAACTTAACATTAAAGTTGATGTTTTTGCATAAAACATCTTCACCAGCGTCTATACTGGCTAATTTTGATAAATCAAAAACATGATTCATTCTTCGGGATGAATTTTGCGAACACATTTAATTAAGCTTTATTTTGAAACACCTTTTATTGGTAGATCCCAAAAATCATCTTATCAACGACATAACACCCCAACTTCTACAAAAATTGGGGATATTTCTCACTTTCCCTTAAAAGACCTTTACTCAGCTATGAGCAGTGGCACCAAAATATTGAAACCTTTCCATTTCTTCTGTTTCCCAGGTATCAACTCTCCGAGTGGCCGGGCCCTCACCGAGGACCAGTTCACCTGCTCCATATGCCTGGAAATATTTGTGGAGCCCGTATCTACACCCTGCGGTCACAGCTTCTGCAAGGCCTGCCTACAGGGCTACTGGAACCACAGCAAGAAGTTCTTGTGCCCCATGTGCAAGAAGAGCTACTCCAGAAGACCAGAGATGAGCGTCAACCGGGTCCTGGCCGAAATATCCTCCCAGTTCCAGGGTCTGGTGGTCTCTGGCGGTGCCTCGGGAAGCCCCTCGCGAGGGGGCTCAATGACTATGAGCTCAGACTCGGGTCACAGCAGTTCTCCAGCGCAGGACACCGGAGAGTTCGCCCAGCCCGGCGATGTTCCATGTGATGCCTGCATCGGAAGGAAGCTGAAGGCTCTGAAGTCTTGCGTGAACTGCCCTGGATCCTACTGCGAGGCCCATTTGAGGCATCACAAGAAGGTCCGTCTTCACATCTGCCTATACCTGTAGTCATGACTACCTTTGTCTACTCATTAACAGATATTTCCTTCCACAACTCCGCGCTGTAGGTCAAGACTCTGACTTCACATTGTCTGATTGAACCCACCTTCCACCTGGAGGAAAAGATCTGCAAGAAACATGAACGCCTCCTGGAAGTGTACTGCTGCACCGACCACACATGCATCTGCAAGTCTTGTGCCGAGGCCACACACAAATCCCACGATATCATTTCCGTCGACCAAGAGTTTAAGAAAAAGATGGTGAGCTGTAGACATTTTCTCCTATTCTAGGTGAAGGTGTATTATATAATCTTGAGGTTACAGAAGGTATCCAGTCCAAGTGCTGAGGCTGCCAATTTGACAAGATAAGATAGCGGTGACTTATTTCTGCTGATATAAACTTCTTACTCAGACTAATGTTAAAGACCGACTGTCAATTAGCAGGTGGACAACTGATTTTAATAACCAAAATCCTCCATTTTCCCTCTCTCAGACCAATCTGGGAAAGAAGAGGTCAGTGTTGAAAAACTTAATCAAAGAACGAGCCAAGAAACTGGAAGAGATCAAGCAATCCATCAAGGTCATCAAGGTGAGTCCACTGCACGATGAATATGTTCGTGGGTTAATGTAATAAAAGCCAATATCTTGCCTTTGGAACTTAGAAGATGATGGGTTTCTATGGTATAGGATAATAGAAATTCAAATTTTCAATAACCAAATTTTCAATGCAGATGTTGAATTGTATTGAACGGAAAGCTTACAACGTAACCAAGAAAATTAGTGCTTTAGAATTTAGAATTTATTTAAGGGAAGTTAAGCGCGCTAAATGTTTTCAAAGTTAGCAAAAACGCTCAACAAAACATTGCTCTGCAAATAGCAGAAGTGTGCCCACTGGTAAAGAACAACCAGACCTGGAATTTTTGTATAACTTGGAGTAACATTTCCAAGTACTGGAGATTGTGTGAACTAAAGCCAAGGCTTTAATAAATTAAAGTTTCAATACTGCTAAAATTTACCGTCACAAAGTTCCGGCAGTTTAAAGTCTTCATAATAAGATGGTAGAGAACAGGCCACGCTCACTGAAGTTTCTCTTTTAACCTGCAGTATGAAACTGAGGAATGTAGGACTGCCCCTCCCCCACCCGTTGCATATACCATTAGTCAGCTGGGTAAAGACAGCTAGAGTTTTCCATCACTTCATAGAAAGACAAGCCTCAAAGTTTGGAAATATTTTTCTTCACACAGAACAAAACAATGTTTCTTCCAAAGGTTGTGTTTTGGCAAACTTTGTAACAATAAAAAGGTACACTAGTCTATGCTAAATGAAGTTCTTTACCCCATATTTTTGCTACACTATCAGCATTAGATAACATTACAATTTTAGGAACAATACATTTGTGTTGACTTTTTTTTGTGTTTTTATAAAAGCAGTCAAATCATGTTTTCATTTTACCTTTTTATCCTAACGTGAGAATCTCATGCCGGCCTACGCCTAATATAAACCTGTGTTTGTTTTTTACAGCCAATCAGATTCAATCCTCAACCTGTTCCCAGTGGCTGTTAAATATTTACCCCGTCTGTAACAAAGTGCTTTTAATCTTTCAATGCTCAAACGCTTCACCAATGCCTCTCAGTTCAAGGCTGGATTATTAACCACGAGCTGATAAATACCCCACAGTACCCGTTTGACCCCTTCATTCTATACTTCACTTTGGCAGGGAACAGGAAAGACATTGCGGTTCACGACGTTGTCTGCGCTCTCTCTCTGGTTTGTTTGTTTTTCTCGCCCACATGGACTCTGGTGCTTGTCCAACGCCGTCCAACCGGTGGGACTGGTGTAAATGCTTTACCATTTGTATTCTCACGCGCTGATTTTACCTGTGAATACTTAATGGCTAATTGCTTAGGAGAAGAAATAAAGGTGTGGAGGATCATATGCCTGAATGGTTTTACAGGAAGGTCATATAAGTGGATAAAAATGTAATTGGCCGAACATTAGAATCTATTCAGTGTCCCGTTTTCAAATGTTACAAGAGGGAGGAAGCGGTTTATCAGACTGATATTTGTAAATATAATTCTCATATTTCTTTTTACAGTGTATTTCAGCTTCATGTCTTGATTAGGTGAAAGCCACCATGTAGCAGGTTTATTGAAACTCTTTGCTTCATGTTTTGCTTTGTCAAATACAGTTAGTATTAAGTTACTACAGGTCAATACGGCCTCAATGTCTTTACTGTACACACCCTGCTGTGTGCGAGTGTATCTGTTCATGTTTAGAACCTTTTCTGGTATATTTAGCACTCTTAGAGGAATTAATCTTATGGGGGGAAAAACTGCTCTTTATGATCTTTCTGAATAGGATAGCTAACAACACTTGGGTACTGCTTAATAAAAGCTTAATAAAAGCAATACCCAAGTATTGATTTTGCTTATATTCCCTACCTGCTGTTCGGATTAAAATGTTTCTGGGATCAAGAAATTCACACCGATGCAGAGAGAAGTTTGGGAGTGGAAAGCTATTTGGGATTTCCGTCGGGGCTCGGGGAAAACACAACCCGCCTGTCCGGTTGAACAGTGACTGGCAGACAGACTCTCAGTGACTGACTCAGGAAATATGACCAACATTTCACGCCCTGGCTTTGACCAAGATTATATGGTTTTATTTCAACCTGAGGGATACAACAGACTCAAATTTATTGTGCTAAAAATTGCAGAAAAGATAAAATTTTCTTGGTATCTTTTCAGTTTTAGTTTTAAATTGTATACATTTGCTTCTAATTTTTTTTTGAAGACTTAAGCTTTTCTCATGTCATGTATCAGGAGAAACCAGAAATTCCCAAAATTTTGTTTTGGGAAGACAAAATTTGAAATGACAATACTAACAACAATAATAATAATAATAATAATAATAATAATAATAATAATAATAATAAAACAAAATATTTGGAAGCTTCTTAAGCCTGGCTGTTAAATTGGTTGTTTGGTTTACAAATAAAATTAAAGAAGTTAGCATAAAAATGGTAAAGATTAAGAGCTTCGTTCCCATTTATGTCCATAGAAAAAAGTCACATCTGGTTAAAAAGTGAAAAAAAATAATGTATCTTTTTAAAGACAAAAAATACAGAAAATAAATCCTGTTTTCGGTTTCACTGTAAGAGAAACTAAAACAGAGACTTATTTTTTGAAAGAAAAATATAAAACAAATGCAAATAGTTTCTCTAGTAACCCTACAATTCTGCGCTGTAGCACTATACCCGTCACATAACCAATCAAATACCACATGACCAACCCCCAAGATATCCCAAGATGGGTATCATGAACAACAAGATACCCAACAAGACCATCAAGATAGAAAAACATTGATTGTTAATATTGGCCCAGTCGATATTGATATGTTGAGAAATGGCTAACTTCGGGCCAATACCAATATATCCTGTCTGCCAAGACCCAAGTCATGCCTCCAAAACACCGACATCATTTTGACACCCTCTAGGTCTTTCTCATCTTTCACAAGACAACATTTACGTATTTTGCAGGCCAGCTCTCAGAAGGAGCTTGAGGACAGCTGGCAGGTGTACGGCGCGCTGCAGAAGCTCGTGGAGCAGAGTCAGGCTGAGATGGTGGAGCTGATCACCGCCAGGGAGCGGGAGGCGGAGCGCCACGCCCAGGAGCAGGCCAGGAGTCTGGAGAACGAGCTGAGCCAGCTGAGGAGGAGGAGCAACGAGCTGGAGGCCCACGCACACACCAAGGACAAAGTGGTCTTCCTGCAGGTAGTCAAGACTTCCCAGGAAATCACAAAATAACTAGTGCCTCCTTTCATTAATTCAACGTTTCTGCAGGTTTCTACAGGTCAAATTTAAGACATTTGAAGAACATTATGAATGCAATTTAAGACCTGTCTTCAAAGTAATGTACGAATTTCATCCAGTTAACTGGCAAAAAAATTTTATTACACATAATAGATGCAAACAAGTGTCTAGATAACCATCAATAACTATCTTATCTACCTAACTAGCTAGCAAGGTTATTTAGCTAGATAACTATAACTAGCTATCCTTTCTATCTAGTATCTTAGCAGCGAGTTACCAGTACTTAAGTTAGTTAGCTAACTAGATGCCTATCAATAACTGTCTTATCTACCTAGCTAGCAAGGATATTTAGCTAGATAACTGTAACTAGCCATTTTTTCCATCCAGCAGTGAGTTACCAGTACTATCTACTTAGGAGCCAACTATCTAACTAGATACCTATCGATAACTAGCTAGCTAGCTAACATCACCTTGCTAGCTAGTTAGAAAGGGGATGTTAACAGTGAGTTAACGGTAACCTCTACCATCTAGAGTCACTCAGTGAAGATGTCTGTGTGCGACTCAAACTTTTGCCTGACAGAAAAGTTCAGAGAAACAAAAAAGTACAAAGAATATATGACATTAAATAGTCCTATCAAGTTCAAGATGTTAACGTATTTAGGGCCAACTTACTGTTCTTTAAATGAATTTAAGACATTTTAAGGCCTCAATTTTATATATATGAATTTAACACTTTTTAAGGATGCACTGACACCCTGGAAATATTAAAAAAGAAAATTGTCAAGTGCAAATTATCCAGCCAGGAAATCTACCGTTAGAGCCAGCTACCTGGAGGACAATCAGTTGTGGTTGCTTTAGGAGTTCAGACACACAACATCAAAAACCTCTATGAACCGACAGAGCGTGTTAGTCCTCCCCTCGCCTCTTTATTCCCGGACTTTTCATGTGAATAAAACAGGGGTTGTATCGGACATAAAAGAAGTCTTTGAAGTTAGCAGCCTGGAATATTGTACACACTGGGAAAGCAAAGGCGTAAAGCGTAAAATTCACAAAAAACAAGCCTTCTTCTTCCCTCCGTTAAGCTCCTAAGATCAAGAGGACGCTAAATAAGCTCCACGTCGTTTTTAGTGCAGCTTTTTTTTTTTTTTAACTGCTTCCTTCTCCTCCCTACCTCACCCCTGAGGCTCATTAAATTTTCATTTCATCTCGCCGTTCTATTTTCTACAGAACCTGGCCACGCTGTCCCACTCGCCCGAGTACACCGATTGGTCGGGGGTCAGCATAAACACCGACATCTACCTGGGAACGCTCCGCTCCTCTGTCAGCGGCCTCATCGAGAAGTTCCAGGATGAGCTTAAGAGACTTTACGTAAAAGGTGAGCGAGCCACCGTCAAACCAACCGAGTTTGAAATGTGAATACAAACTACTGGTCATGTGAAAGAACAAAAAGTTTGTTTTGTTCTATTTTAGGCAATGATTTTGATTGTTTTCATATAGCAAACTCAAACACCAATTAATTTCTATTCAAATATAAGATTGTTGCTTAAGGCAGGGTTGTGTCATGGAACCTGACTTGGGAAAGTTCCCAAACCTTCCCAAGTTTAGGAATTTTGTACCATTGCTACAAAGTTTGGGACAAATGCTACAAAATATGTCAAGAAAATTCAACTTTTAGAATGTTTTTTTATTCACTATTCAATAATTATTACATTAATTTAGCATAAATACCACTTCATACCGTCTGATTTTAGATGGCCATAACTCCTGTGGAGGAAATTTTTATTAAATGCAAGATATATCCATGTATTTTGCACAGTTGTGACTTAGCTACTTCTCTGATTATGTTTTTTCAGCAAATACCCTTTTTCTGAGTCTGTGTGCTCCAGTTAATGATTGACCGATGACTAAATTAGATGACGATTAATCCGATTAATCATTTCAGCCGATACAAATGTACAAAACGCTCTTCATATTTTTATTCATAAAAATAGTTGAAAATAATGTACATTTTTTTCTACTTCACAATTATGTTGAGTTGTGTTCTTCTGTCACATAAAAGTCCCCAAAAGTGTTTAACTGTAATGCGACAAAATGTGAACAAGTTAAAGTAGATATGAATGCATTCTTCCAGAAAAAGGTTAGGAATAACCTAATAAAAGAAAACAAAATAAAAAAATCAACATTAAGTCTGTTAGATTTTACATCCTTTGCCATGTTCCAGTCTTGACTTCTATGCAAATATCCCAGAAACCTCATAATCCCTTGTCTGATACAGACAATTTGGTCTATGCAAATGTGAAATCAGGCATATGTAGGTCAGTGAATGCGCTTTCCAGAATAGGAGAGTGATTCATCGTTGCGTTTTACACATCCAAGATGACTGGACAGATGGAGAGTGCGTCGATGCTGCAGCAGAGCCGTGACAGCAGCACATGGCTGCAGCGTCTCCAGCTCCAGACCCAAGCATCATGGTTAACACGAGCCCGAACCATCTGCTTTAGCTTCGACTTGTTTTGCTTGATGACGTGTTGACTTATTTTCTCTCTCAAACTTTGTCTTTTGTTTTTATTCCTTTCAGAGTTCCGGAAGGTGCAGAACTATGCCAGTGAGTAATCCCCTTCAGTGTTTTTTTCTGCACATGTTGGTGCATAAAATGTGTCTTGAGGTTCTTAACTCCTGTGATGTTCAGTTCTCCTGAATGCCCACAAGATGGAGCCACTTTCTATCACATGTGACCTCAATCCAACTAAATGTTGCCCATTTGATTGACTGGCCATTGCCTTCTTTCTCAATTCTGCTCAGTTTTTATCTCCCTTATTTGCTCCGTCTGGGATTTCTCCCATTGAAGTGGATTTCTCCAGTAGATTTTCAACCAGGCCAATCAATGAGCAGAAGAAGAAGTTGTGAACAATGACATTGTTTTAGAATTGAAGTCTGCCTGTAGTTTTAACAAAGGCAGAGGATGAAGTGAACAAAGCCGTTCGTTTGGTGATGGCGTCAAACTGCCACATTACATACGTCACGGAAAAACGTTTGCGATTGGGTAAAATTTAAAACCTCAACAGAGTCTATGCCTCTAGGAAGCAAATGTTTGTCAATAGATGAGAGTCCCTGATGCTCTGTATGAAGCAAACAGTATAGGGCAAATGTGTGATTTTTACAAGGGGTCCCTTATGAGAAAGCAGATATAAATTCAATATATTTGAATCCAGCGTTTGATTTATCTGTGTCTGCAATTCCATTACAAATGTGCACAAATATTTGTCTATGCTCTGCTAATGTAAAAAAAAAAATTTTCACAATTGCGGTGTTTCCATTAAATAAAATTTAATTAAAATCACAAGTGAGTAAGCTTGTTTATGCAATGAATCATTAAAAATCCTGGGTGTGACGGACGTAATCGTTTATCTCATATAACTGCAGTTACATGAGCTAGCACTTGTCATCTATTAGCGATCAGAACAAAAACAAATAATCATCCTCCTACTACTTCCTGTCACCTATGTAGTTTTTAATTTAGTTTTTGTTGATCATGTGACTTGTGTGATGCGAAAAGTGTTTCCGTTGCACTTTTGTGAAATATGTTTATTTCGCTTTGACCAAAAAAAAAAAAATTAAAAACAACAAAAATCACCTCATACTAGCTCAAAAACTTTTTAGCAAAAAATGGGAGTTCTTTTCAAAATTGTCGTGTTAAGCAAATTTACTATCATAATTTCAATTTGCTCAATTTTAGGGTTAATGGAAATGCAACTTGTGAAAAAAAAAAAAATCCTCGGTCACCGTCTTACCCTGCTTTATCCTTTCCTTTCTAGGTGAAGTTGTTTTGGACCCGTCCACGGCCCAAAAGAACCTGGTCGTTACTCATGAAGGTCAGCAGGTCAAATACGAAGAGCACAAGGTTTCCCACTCCGAGGGTCCGAAGCGCTTCAACCCGGCCCTCTTCGTCCTGGGCCGAGAGAGCATCCACTCTGGCCGCCACTACTGGGAGGTGGAAGTCGGGCGCAAGACGGCCTGGACGCTCGGCGTGGCGCGCGCTACGGCTCGCCGCAAGGGCGAAATCAAGCTGAACCCTGAGGGCGGCTACTGGTGCCTGTGGCTGAAGAACGGGGAGGTGAAGGCGCTTGCTGAGACTCGCCTGCCGCTGGCGCTGATGTCTCATCCCAGCAAAGTAGGACTTTTCTTGGATTACGAGGCCGGCCAGCTTTCTTTCTACGACGTGAAGGCACGTCAGCACCTCTACACTTTCATGGATAAGTTCAACGAGAGCGTGTACCCGATCTTCAGCCCCTGCCTAAGCCAAGACGGGAAGAACAACTCTCCTCTGATCATAACGCAAGTTAAGCACACCTAAGCGGTCAGAGAGTGGATCGTAGACTGAGGGTTTGTTGTTTTTGTTGGAACGAGTTGTCTCGTCTTCGAGGAGTTTACAATGATGACACTTGTTCGCAAAGCACTTCACGTCCAACTTGGTGGACAAAAGCAAATCGAGCTCCTGCCACAATGAAACCTAATGAGGCGTCACTACTCCGCTGAAGGAAAGACTGTGTTCAGAGACTTTAAAGTAACAGATTTTTTTTAAATATTAAAGACATTTATTCTGTTCAGCTAAAAGAAAAAAATAATAAAAAAACAAACTTGTTAGAAGAAAATCTGGGACTACTGTTCTGATGCACCAAAAGTTCAGCTGACAGTTTACCTGCATCCTTTAGCTAAAATCAGAGTTTGTCAGAGGATCTCATTGGCACACCAAAAACAGCAAAAATTAAAAAAATGACACTAAAATCAATGAAAAGTTCAGTAACTGAAGGGTTACCCATGAAAGGATGAGTAGAAATAAAAGTAGGTTGCAAGGCAAGATTGTTTTAGTAAGGAGCTGGAGTAATTTCTGCCAACTAAAAGTCGTTGTCCATGACTAACAAACATCTCTTGTCGTCTGTATGTCTGGACCAAGGAGCAGGACTGTAAGGTGAAATTTATTTGGTTTTATTTTACAAAGGAAAACATTCAGGTCTTATTAAAACCTTTTGAAAGAATGCATTATTGCTTAGTGAAAAACTTCAACATTTTGACCATAATTCCAAAAGGAGCATCAACACTGACATCATTAAAACAATGTCAGACATGCTCTGGGGTTATATAATGCTCCTCCCACCCCCATCTTCATGTAACATAGCTATGCATCATCATGGGAGGCTCTGTATGTTAAGGTCCTTTCAAGGACTTAGTGAAGGAACCAAATATATTGTTGCACATATTTGAGAGAATTGTTGGGCTGTGGTTGTTTTATGGGGTTTGGGAGTTCTGTAATTCTATGCCAGATTCTTTTTGTACCTTCTTTCTGTAGTTTTCAAATAAAGATTACTTCTGAATTAAAAAGAGACACATATTTTTCCTTATTCTGAGATTAGTACAAGATCAAACTCATCTAGCTTACAATGAAAAGACTGAAATTCCTCAGCGTCCACCCCCATGTGGTTCAGCATGTCACCAGTAGATGGCGGACTAGATCAATGCTCTGACAAGGGACTTTCTTGACATGAGTCATGGGATTTCGCATTCCAGGTTTGTTCACCCATTCACTCCCATGTTTAGATTTTAATCCAAACATCCGTGTTCACAGATCATCTCTCCATGCCGAAATGGCTTTATGAAATTGGAAAATTAAAAGAACGTGTTTGCTCTGGGGTCATGACTTAAAACTTAAAACTTTACAAATTCAGCTCCAGTGAAGCTAAATTTGTAAAGTTTTTTCTTTTTTTTTTTTTTTGTTGCTCTTTTGAGACTTTGACAGTGATGAGATTTTATCTTTGGACAAGAATAACCTAGGTACATGGAAAAGGAATGTTTAGAGTTGAAATTGTATTATACACTATAGAATTGCTCCCCATGTTAAATGATGAAATATTGGTTTAAAATTGGCTTAGGAAGAGGCATATTTACAGGTTTGGATAGTTTTTTTTTTCTCTCTACGAGTCCTAAATTAATAAAATGGAAATAGTAAGGTACTTCGTGTTAATTTAAATGACAAAACCTTTAACTACAAACTTATGACAGATGCTCTCTATGCTAACATCTCTAAATATGCTAAGCTGGCTAACCTGTTCTCATGTATTTTCAACAATTGAAACCTGAATCTAATTAAATGAAACAAATTTTACAAAATAATTTTATTAAAACGAGCTTCAACTTGCATGTTTTCATATGGTTTTAGTCAAACCAGTCCTAAAAAATACTTCAAATGAATACAAAGACTGACTTAAGTTTTTTTTTTTTTTTTTAAATCAACATTATGTAGCCTCTGTGTCTGAGTCAGGTTAGAATTATATACAGGACAGCTAGTTCCTCCCGAGGCCAGGCCATTGCCAAGAGGCTTAAATTTGTATCTAGGGTGAAAGAAAGCGATGGGAGGGGGGGTTATTTTCGGGTCTGTGCCGCGGGTCAGTGCTGGGGGAGCTGGAGGTGGCAGTGGTCAAAGCTGGTCTCAGATATCAGGGCACAGCGGAGTCTTAAGGCAGCTGCTCCTTGGTAAGTGTCTGTGTTACAGATTCAGTGTTTAGTTTTCTGATTTTTTGAAATTAAACATATTTAGTGCCTATTTTTCAGAGGGATGTTGCTGGATTAAGTTATTTTAGCAAACTAGTGAGTGGCGTCTGAAAAGCTGTAACATGACAAACTTACTTTCGGTTCGTCTTTTAATCGGTTTTACTGCTGACTCATAAAATCCATGAAAGTGATCTGACCGCAGGGAAACGGTGGGTATTTACAAAATTAACACAGATGTAGAATATAGGCCATGCAAGCAAGTTCATATGCTGAAAGAATATTTTTGGAAAAATGTCTGTCCTGTCATGAATGTCAAGGCCTTTAGCCAGGAGCCATTATAGTCTGAATGGCAAACACACTTACTCAGGACTGTCTGGCATAAGTAGGACAGTTTACCAGACCTCAAAGGGTTATGCGTTACAGTTCAAATTCAATAAAACCGGAAATAAGGGAAAAAAATCAAAAAACTATCACTGCAAAGAAAACTTTAGTCATTTTAGAGCACAGTAGCTTTTAGTCTACATAGATAGATATTAAATCATTACATTTAAGGCACATAAGATATACAATGTTACAGAAACTATTGTCCAACTGAGAAGAATGGTGTTTTATATTCTGATTGATGCTAAATACAAGCAATTCTCAATTTTATCAATTTTCTTATATCCTTCAAAATGACTATGAAAGTTATCGGTTGAGAAAAGGCTAACTGCATGAACATTTATTGGTTTACCAAAATTTAAACAACGGAAACGGTGTTTTTAAGCTTCTTCTGGAGTCAAAATTGTTTTAGCAATTTCCAAACACACTTTTGTGTTTTAACATGTTTGGTCGTTTTCACAGTTAGAGATTTACTTCAAAAACTATAATATTTACCTTGTTCACATTGGAGCTTTTTGTTCATTACTCTTGCAGTCTTTTTTATCTTTTTGACTTTTTCAGGTGTGAGCCGTCTTGCACGGAACATTTCATACCGACCTTGTGTCGTTTCGTAAATATATTTTGGCTGCTTTGGTAGTTGATAACTGAAAAAAAGTTTATTATAATAATCTGCTATGATAAAATGGGGTTATGTGACTGCAATAATTAATTTGGTTTGATATTTCATGAGTCCATACGGTATCAAACACAATATCTTGCAAATGGGAAGTCTACATTTACAACTTAAATAGTCAAAAATACCATATCAGTTTAGTGATGCAGTTATATATTTTAGCTAACATAACTCCATTTTTCATGTCTTGCCTGTGTAGTTTTATGTACTTTTTTCATTTTATTTGGTTGCACTGAAATATTTGGAGGTGCGATCATCAAAATCATGTAAAAAACAATTCTAAATAAAAATAAAACAAACTCAAATTAAGAGGAAATCAATAAAACTATATAATCACCATTCTTAAGAAGAACTTGATCCCTTGCCACTTTGTTCCATTACTGTGCATGAATATGACCCTGAAGAAATTAAAAGCCATCTAACTCTAGAAACCTCAATATCACAGCAGGTCTGGTGCCCCATTCAAAGGCTGGTTGCTTTCGCTGAAAATGACCCTGCCTCTCCGCCGTGCAGGAATGGCCGCCACTGGGAACCTGTCTGAAGAGCAGGTCCACTGCTCCATCTGTCTGGACGTCTTCACCAACCCCGTGTCCATCCCCTGTGGGCACAACTTCTGCCAGACCTGCATCCTGGGATACTGGAAAACCAGCCCTCTGTATCAGTGTCCTATGTGCAAGAAGTCCTTCCACAAAAGGCCTGACATCAGCGTGAACACGGTGCTGAGGGAGATTGCAGAGCAGTTCAAGCAGATAAGAGTCAAGACCACTGACGTGAAGGGAAGTGGGGAAGAAAGCACAGGTAAAACCAAGAAGTGGACAATGGAGAAGAAGGTGAAGGAGGACGAGGAGAGGCTTCTGGAGAAAGGTCAGATGCAGAACCTTATGGAGGAACTGAAACAAAAGCAAGAAGAGAAGAAAAAGAAGCAGGAAGTGAAGGAGAGTCAAGGCGAGGAGCTACCGCCATTAATCCCTCCAGTTTTGCCATCTAAAACCTCTCCTCCGCCGTCGCCTCAAGGCTCAGCTCAAGCTCTACCACGAGAAACATCACCTTCACCTGAACCAACTTCCCCTGCACTTCCTCAAACTTCCCCAATATCCCTGACCCCTCCTCTACTGTGGGAGGAAGTCCTGTGCGATGTTTGTTTGGGGGAGGGCCGCCCCAAAGCTGTCAAATCCTGCCTCGTGTGCCTGACCTCTTACTGCGACGAGCACCTCAAGTCTCACTCTACCAGGTTCACCAAGCACAAGCTGATAGAACCGGTGGCCAACATGGAGGACAGGATGTGTCCCAAGCACGAGCGGCTGCTAGAGCTCTTCTGCAAGAAAGACCAGACCTGTGTGTGTGTCCTCTGCACTGAGACAGACCACAGGGCACATTACACCGTCCCAGTGGAGAGAGAATGGACTGAGAAGAAGGTGAGAAATGGCGGCTGACACCCAAAAATGTGTATGTGTCTATAGTCTGTACCTGCTTATCAGTCTATCACAAGCCTACACAAAGACACACAGGCAACAACTATGCAAACACACACGCACACACACTCTGGGGTTCCTTCATCTTCCTGCAAGGTTACAATAAATCAATCAAGTTTACACACAGTCAGTTGGGAAAACTAGTAAACATTACATTTCGCCAAGTGTCGTCATTACACATCAAAATGTTAACCAGTCTTTCACTCTGACCCTAGTTCTGGAGTATTGTCTTTTTTTCTAAAACCTAACTTCTAAGATCCTTTTAGCCCTTTGTTTTAGGTGCCCACTGCTCTACAGCAGGGTACCAAACCAGACTGTTTATGATCATTTATACTCTATTGTATCAAAATTCTCCTGTGTGCTAAGGGGACCCAAGTTGGAGAACTATTGGTAACAATACAGATATAAATGTTGCCGTCTATCAATCTGAGAAAGATTATAGGGCCACTACCAAACTATTAAGTAGGTTACATGGGAGACATGAAATCCAGACCTTGAGAGCTACCATCCTGCAACTTTCAGATACATCCCTGCTCCAACACACCTCAATCAAACAGCTAAATTGCCTCAACAGCATTCACTCAAATTTGATAATGAGTCATTGACTTGATACAGGTTTGTTAGAGAAAAAGGTGCACCTAATGGTGGTAGGGTGGTACATCTCAAGGACTGGACTTAAACAGGTAAAGTATTAGTAATAGCATTAATTCTACATCTGCCATCTACGTTTGTGGGAACTTGTGTCATGCAGGCGCTGCTGAAAAAGACAGAGATAGACGTCCAGCAGATGATCCAAGACAGAGTGAAGAAGGTGGAGGAGATCAAGCACTCTGTGGAGCTCAACAAGGCGAGTCACAGCAAGAGACATTCAACTGAACTCTTGTTAGCTTCAATCAAAGCTAAAGAGGTGTCTGACAGTATGATGCAATGGCCATCATACTGCCTATTGTATTTAGTGTTTTCCAAATCTATACTGTTTCAATGATTTTATAGTTCATAGTGTGTTTTTACAAATATGCACACAACACTCTTTCATTGTTTGTGTTTGATTTGCACCTTTAGGTCAGCGCTCAGAGAGAGATTGAGGAGAGCATGCAGGTCTTCTCTGAACTGGTGCGCTCCATCCAGAAGGCTCAGGCCGAGCTGGTTCTGGTCATCGAGGAGAAGCAGAGGCAGACGGAGAGGCGGGCCGAGGGCCTCATTGCCGAGCTGGAGCAGGAAATCTCGGAGCTCAAGACGCGACACACGGATTTGGAAAATGTGAACAGGACTGACCATATTCACTTCTTGAAGGCAAGGAACAGTTTACTGAAATGCAATTTTGTTGTTTGTCATTCCTTCTGTTGTTATTGTGATTGTCCTGTAAAGGTCAATGCTGTCACATCCATTATAGCAAAAGAGGAAAACAACCCGCCTGGCCTTTTACACTCAAACCAAATCAAGCCGCAATAGAATCTGTGATGTAACCCACGGTGGTGTGTGTCAGATATGCTCTCCTCTCTAGTCTTATCATATCACGGCCACAACAGATCAGATGAGCTCTTATGACATGCTGACCGGGAATCTGAATGAACAGGAAAGGTGAGCAGGTGAGCTGTCAGAATAAGTAGGCTGCAAGGCAAGTTAGTTAATCAGATGTTTTGCTGTGTATGTCCCACCCATTACAGCAAAATCCACAATTCCTCTAATTAATTCCAATTTGGTGGGAAACAATACAACATTCTGGGGTTTGTTTTAGCCATAATCAAACATTTTCCTTTAGAAAACTGTTATAAAACCACTCTAAACCACCTGGGAGTGTAAAAATTTACCAAACCAGACTGTTTATGATCATTTATAAACCAGAAGGTTGGTAAATTAATGTCTTTGTGACTGATTCTTGTCTGTAGTAGCATATAATGCACTCCGATGCATTACTAGGGGGAGTTATGGAGTTCCTCAGGGCTCAGAATTTGGCGCAATTCTATTTAATCAATACAATCTTCCTTTTGGGCTAGGAGGAAATATATGTACTTTCAACACTTTGCTGATGACACTCATCTGTTCTAATAAATTAAGTCTGATAACTGTAAATAGACAGAAGTTTCAAGATTGCCTTTAAGATCTCAGGTAAGAACTGAAACAAAGGTACGGAAAACAAATTGCAGAACTTTTGACAATCACACAGTTTTGATTAATTAAAAATGATGGTGGTCCATAACGCTGCGCTTTGTTCTTCGTGTGCCTTGATTATTTAAAATTACTTAAAGACTTTGTCAAAATGAAGTGAAGAACACAATGAAAAAAATTTATTAAAATATCTTAAATGTACATCAATTCATATTGGAAATGCTAATGCTTATATATGATGTCATTTTTCTGCAGAGTTTTCCAGCCTTAAGTGCGACCCCATCTGTTAAAGACTGGTCTGAAACCAGTATTCCCACAGACACATGTGTTGGGATGATCAGGAGATCTGTGTCTAAACTGGAGACGACATTAAGTGAAATGATTGACAAGCTGTCCGCAAATGGTAGGAAGTCTTACATTCTCCTTTAAACGAGTTTAGAAGAAAACTAAAATCAAGCCTGTGTTTAGCTAACAAAAAAATTTTTTTTGACTCTTACAGAGATTAAGAAAATTCTGAAATATTCAGGTAATTAGTAAGTCTTTTTCCTGTTGTTTAATATTTGTTGTTTTGCATCTGGAACTACGGCGTATTAGGGTCATTGTAGATAGAAAGTAAATTTCTGCCAAAAAATCCCAAAAATATTATAGTAAATAAACCTGGAAATTTCTGAGCTTAAATTGAAAATTTTAAATTTTACAATGGTTGAAAATTTGGACTTTTGAAAGTCAGAGATTTCTGAGTTTTTTCTACAACATTTCTGTGATTAATCTCAAAATTTTAGTGATTTGGCAGAAATGTACTCTGTTCTGTAGTTGAGTCTTATGTTTTGTGCCTGCAGTGGACATCACACTAGACCCAGACACAGCCAATCCATGGCTCCAGCTCTCTCAGGACAGGCACCAGGTGAGGCACCTGGGGGCCTGGCAGGAACTCCCAGACCACCCTGACCGCTTTGACACCGTGGTCATCGTACTAGGCAGAGATGGCTTCACTTCAGGCAGACACTACTGGGAGGTTCAGGTGGGAGACAAGGATGACTGGTACCTAGGTGTGGCCAAGTCTTCGGTCAAAAGAAAAGGTAGGATCTCGGTGAGCACAGCCCAGGGTTATTGGGCTCTGGCCATGAAGAAAGGCCAGGGCTATCGGGTATCAACGTCACCACCACTGCTGCTTTCACTCGACCAGAAGCCAAAGAGAGTAGGTGTGTACGTGGACTATGAGGAAGGACAAATCTCTTTTTACGATGTGAGAACACGGATCCATATTTACACTTTTGAGGATGCCTTCACAGAGAGGATCCTGCCGTTTTTTTACCTGTACTGCTGCGACAAAGCCTCCGACACAATGGACATCTGTCCGGTGCAGGAGAAAAGCCTCATCTAGTAAAACTCAGGACAGACTTCATTATGTAAATGAAAATCCTGGTATAGACTGGATTTCTGACGCACACCTAATTTTATTAAAACTGCAGTTTCATGTATAAATGCTGGGTGTAATACAAAGGGTTGGACATAAACGGTCAATTGTGGTGTATTGTGTAATGTGTAACGACAAACGTGACACACTGGTATGTCTCGTGTTTATGGCGAGAGGTGACATTTTTCTGTCTCCCAATCATCCCACTGTGTTGTGTGACGTGATTAGATCCAACCTAACTATAACATAACATTGTTCTATGGACTTAAAACTGAAGGGAGCCCAGGAATGGTGCGGTACGAGTCACTTGTACGCACAAGCCCAAGTTGTAGCACTCAAAGGAAATGACGCAAAAGTTACTTTCTAAAAGGCTCGTCAATTAATCAAAAGCTTGTTTGTCTGCAAGAGTTTATCGTGCTGTGCAAAATATTTGTGTACAAAGGTTGAAGAACACACACACATTTGCCACAACTTTATGTTTTTACGTTGTTTTCAGAAACTGCTTAAGAAAAATACAATTTTGAAAAATATATCTACCAGCCACTTTTTTAGATACACATGATCAGTTGTTTAACAGAACATGTCAAACCAACCAATCACACGGATTTTGGGAATCTACATAGGAGAAAATGGACTCAAATCAAACTTTCAAACTTTGGCGCAGTTGTTGTTACCAGACAGGTTGGTAGGAGTGTTTCAGAAACTACTGACATACTAGGACTGTTACTAAAACTACTTAAATAGTGTTTGCAACAATGGTCTGAAGACAGAGGTTTGATTTCAGCTCCTAATAGAAAAGCGATAGCCTAAATAAGCACTTGCTACAACTAAGGCCGTCTTTGATTAACCTAAAGGCAGATAAGCCCCAGCAGCAGAAAACTACACTTGACGATGCTCCTGTAAGCTAGGAACAAACAGCTGAGGATGTAGTTCACACAGGCTAACCACAATGGGAAAGGAATAGAAAAGAACACTGACTTGCCCATTGACTAAATTTTAAGCTGCGATTTTCAAGTGGTAGTAGTTAACATGAAAGCATAGATTCATTTTATGAAAAGTTCAAACTGCTGATGGTGGAGTTAATGGTGTGGTAGCCGTCTTCTCAGCACACTCTGGTTCCATTAGTACCAGGTGAACATTTTTGAAGGGTAGCAGGATAATGGCTCATGTCATAAAACTCAAATCATTTAGTGAACAGGATGAGGAGTTACTGATCCCTAATGGCCCAATTCATTAGGGATTCGTATTATGGATGTACAGCAAACAGGTCTGCATCAATGATATGATCATGTAATTTTGGACTGAAACTCATTATTTCTAACTAGTGCAAAACCAAACTCCCCCTTCGCCTTTAAGTGGAAGGCAGCGGGTTTTTTCTACACCTGTTGGTGTAAACAGGTGTAGAAAAAACCTGTTGGTGTCCTACTCATTCAAGTCAAAAGGTTTGCTGTGAAATGCAGGCATGTTACTACATGACACAGCTTGATGAGCTGGATCTGGGGTTTAACACCTTCAATTTCCTGGTCAAAACATTAAGGAGATTAATTCCCAATCAGTATGAGTTCCATAGAACCATTTGGAAAAAAAAAAACCCCAGCTCAAATCAGCTAAATAAATTCTACATACTGGAGTTTGTGAAGTGAAACTTACGTGTTCTGAGGTGATGCAATGATGTTACTAATGTCTGGCACAAACCATGGAAAAGCTTGAGTCAAACCTTATATTTGGTGTCAAATGAACGGGAAATAAGATGTACGATCCAGATGATGCAATGATAGAATTTTATTTTTTACATGATCCCAGGCCTTGTGCTAAGCTAACAGGTGTCTGGAGATTATATTTTGTGAATTTTACCGTTTTTCCATTTGAATTCGATTCAGTTATCGCATGTGTGCCATTAAAAGTAAAGTTCTGTCTTGACTTGTTTGGTCGTAACTTTAAAATCTGTAGGATAGATGTAAAACAATAAATGCTCTCCAGAATATTATCAGAATATTTTATTTGTATCTCAGGACTTAAGAAAAAAAGAAAGGCAGCTTTAAGTTTTGTTTTGGAGAAATGACGACCTGGCCACCCCCAGTAAGTGCCAGAAGCTGGATCTGCTTCTCCGTTTCTTGCGGATCCATTTCCTTGGAAGAGGTGAAACCTGAAGGTATTCCATCATTGAACCTTACAAACTGCACATAAGATACTGTTAAAACTTGTGGAATTTATTGCAAAAGCGATACTCGGGTGAGTTACTACTCGATCAATTGATGAATTTCAGTTGCTTTAACGTACTTACCGACTGTGTTACAAAGCACTATAATTTGTTACTGGATTCATGTGGGCATGACTCACTGGGTGTGACAGAGTTGCTGTCCCCCCCCCCCATCTCTGGGCAAATTAGATTACAGACATGAAAATCATTTTTGGCATTCTTTCAGTTCTGTTATTGTTGCTGTGCTTAGGGGTGCCAGTCTGAATCTATAGAAGCCTACAATTTTTTCAAAAAAAGCTGTTGGAAGATGCAACTTATCTGTCACTACTCATATTCACAGATGATGGTGGACCTAAAATATTATGTAAGGTAATATTTTTAATTACCATGACTTTTATCAACTACATTCTAAATCAACTACATTATAAAATTTGTGAAAATATAAAATCCCCAAATCTAGTACAGTCCTCGTTAATGTAGCCTCTATCACACAATTTCAACCAATTTCCCTTCCAGTGTTTGAACATAAAGCTCTCTGCATGACTCAACCCTCTTGTGTTGTAGACCTTGGTCAAACAATTTCAGTTTTTTTCCACCATCAGTTGTTGAACTGTATGATTCTACTTGATAACCGTAATCTTTACGACTGTCAACAATGCCAGACTTGACTTATGAAGAAGGGAGGACAGCGAAGTTGTCAATGGATAAAGAAAATATGCCAGATGTGCAGGTTGTGGACTTTGTGCCAATAAGAAGCATTTCAGTTGTATTTGGATTAAGTTTGAGGAGATTATGAGAGAACCCACTATTAATATCTGGTAACCAGTCAAGAAGAGAAGAAGGGAAGTACATATGGAGGGGAGGTAGAATTGGGTGCCATCTGTATAGCAGCGTAAATTGACACTATATTTTCTGAAAATACTGCCTAAAGTGTAAAGGTCCTCAGTCAGTCCCAACCTGATTTGGGATGGTTGGACTGGAAAGACTGGAGGACAGCATTTGTGAACAAGGTCAAAGTCCAAGGTAAGATAAGAACCAGGACAAAGCAGTGCTGTTTACACCGATGATTGCAATAGGGTTAATAAGAATAAAGATAATCTGGTGAGATAGTGTGTCAAAAGCTGCAGTTAGGTCAAACAAGATGAGCATGGTTAGAAGCATGGCAAGGTCAGTGGGGACTAAGCCAAGTTTCTTAAGCATTGGTGTTTTGGACAGTGCAGGAACAGAACCGAAGGTGAGACAAGAATGAATTATGTCAGTAATAAGAGGCAAGAGTGAGGCAAGACTTATTACCAATTGTGAAATATTGAGAAGCTCTGACTTATAGATTGTTACTTTTTTAAGATTGGGTTAGCAGTCTTACAGGTAGTTTTTACAACAGATGATAAAGTTTCTGACAAAGTGGGCTATAAAAAACTTTTTTGTTCTTCAACAGAGATTGCATAATGTTATGTTTAAAGTGATAATTATTTGATAATGAAGTCCGTCTTTTTTTGTAGAATCAGTGACCTTTGATGAATCCACTGCTGGGGCTGGCCTTGTAATAACGGATTCTGGGAAACGTCTCAAGTACTCAAAAACCGCAAGGCCACCAACACCGTCTTCCAAATCACAAAGGTTTTGTCTACCCATGGTTTTTGGTACGAATGGCTTCATCTCCGGTCGGCACTACTGGGAGGTTGAAGTGGGCCTGAGAAACGACTGGGATATCGGTGTAGCCCTGGAAACGGTTGATAGATCACAAAGTACTGTGAACAAAGACAGGGGATTCTATTTTTTAGGAAAGTCTGGTTTTGATTATGAAGTTCGCGATACAGCCTGTGAAGTTCTCCACCTCAGTCCCAGGCCAAGGCATGTGGGGGTGTATTTAGACTACGAGGCAGGTAGAGTGTCATTCTTTGACGTGACCCAGAAGTTGCATATTTATTCTTTCCTACAGGAGCATTTCACAGGGAAACTTTTCCCATATTTCTATCTGTACAGCGGCACAAAGAGGTCAGAGCCTTTGCTCCTACTTTCCATCCTTGATCCAGAACACTACCTTCGTCTCATTCGCTCTCTTGACCAAGCTAAAAAACCAGCTGAATAGAATCGATTGTAAGGTCAAACTCCAACTAGATCCATGAAATCCAGATGTCCTACAGAGTAAAATGACCACTGGTAAATACTGAAAGATTTTTACCTACAACCGTTCTCACTGTTTGGTTTCAGGGAAGGCATGTTAATGTAAAGTGTTGTATAACTGGGGATTAGGTCATTTCGTATCAAACACGTTTGTAACTTCCTTGACAGTAAATATGTAATGAAACAAAAGGTTTTTCTAGGCCTAAGTAACGGTTGGTGGGAATTTTGGGGGGCGGGGGTTTATCTGAAGCAAAAATCAACTTTGTACCAATGATCCTGCTACTTTGGAATGTGTTTGCCAATTTACATTATAAAGAGTAAACTAGATTTTTCTCTTGAATGTCTATAGCATTAAGCATTCTTTGTAACAGTATTCTTTTAGCCTTTCATGTTTTGGGTTCTGGTCAGTTTTGTTTGTTTCGTATCCAAATTTTTTTTTTAGGTCTGGTACAAGATTTTTCATGAAAGATTTCAGACAGACTTGGATTGATTCGCTATGGCGGGCCAGATTTGGCCTTCGGGCCTCAAGTTTAACACTTGTGTCTTAGAGGAAAGTAACCAGCCTGGCCTTTTCATGCAAAAACAAATTATCCTGCAATAAAATACAAGATGTTCCACACAGTGTACGTTAGATATCATCTCCTCCGCAATCCCATCACATCAAAGTTGTTAAATGGTGACCAGAAATCTGTCGAAGAAAGAAAGCTGTGAAAATCCTCAACCAAAAAGTGTATCAGTTAACTTGCTTTGCTCTACAATTGAAAAGAGTGAAATTAACAATTCATCATATTGTACAACATCAAATTGGTAAAAAGACTACATTATATTTGTCTTATTGCGCATTTTTCTCTCCCACACGTTTTCCTTCCACCCAACTTTCTATTAAAACACTTGGATACAGCACCATGAAAGCAGTAAGCATTTTTTTTAACAATAAACATTTGTGGCTTACCTTTTCAATGAGTTTGTAGCATCTTTCGTAACATAGCATTTCTGTATTAATCTATTTTTTGTACACAATATTCCAGTCTCCTTAAAAGAGAATTTTGGGTACTCTGGCTTCTTCCAAAAGTCAAACAATGTACATGTACAAAATGTGGAGCCGATCTAAATAAAACGCAGGTGTCATTACTACACCTGTATCTCTCCTACTCATTCTAATACCAATGCCTGCTGGGAAATGAAGGCCTGCTTCATACAGTCCCGCCTGATAAGCTGGTTCTGGAAATGAACAGATCTCAGCTCTTGGCTACAATAGGAAAGAGAATGATATCTACACCAATGTAACTCAGAAGACAATGTTGTTAAGAATGCCAACAGTAACATAAAAAAAAAAAAAACGGAGCTTAAATTATTCAAGCTAATGCTAAAAGCAGACTTTAGGCTAATTGATCTTTCTGCATGTTTCCAGACCTTATCCAGTTTATTTTTAACAGTTCTGGAAGAATTTGACTATTTTCCTTGTGGATGTTATTTATTTCTTGCATGTTTAGAATGAAATGTGGCATTTACTTGGATTTGTTTGTCAAAATTATGAAAGAAAACAGCTAAAAACAAAACATATGCCAAAAATGCCCAGATAGCTCTTCTATTTTTTGAACTCAGAAATCAATAGTCTTAAGTTTCGTTTCAGTGAACTGATGTGACCAGGCCACACCCACTGTGCACCAGAAGTTGGCTCTGTGGCTCACTTTTTGGTAGATCTGCTTCCTTGGCAGAGATGAGCTCTAAAGTGTTTGTAGCTCCTTATTTGTAGCTTTCAAACTGCGTGGAAGAGTCTGTTGACACCCCTGGATTTTCACATTTACAGCTGAACTACATAGCTGAGGTGAGTTGTTATTCTAAATCAGTCATTTCATCTGCAGTGGCATTATTTCAGATGGTAATAATCATTTTAATGTGCCAACACAATCATGTGAAGGTGACTCACTGGGCGTGTCTGGCATGGTGCTGTAGTTTGCCGTTTGCTAAAGTGACTGCAAACAATCACCCATCTCTCTCTTGGATGTGTTCTTCTAAATAAAACCCACACTCAGCTTAAAACCCAATAAAATGTTGCTGGTTTCAGTTACAACCCTGGTAGTAACGACTATGCTTTATAAGAAATTAATGATGATTTTGCAAATTAAATGGAAATGTTTATTCATCAAATTTTCCTTCCAGACTTGTAATTTTTTTTTTCTCATTATAATTTTGGAAACAAACCTTTTTTGTTCACATTTCCACACTATTAAGAACATGAAAATGAATCAATCCTCATTTTTCTGTGCCTTTTAAACTTAAAATCAGAAATAAAAGTGTGTGTGCGTGTGTGTGTTTTTTTTTTTTTTTTGTAATGATGTATAGTAGATACTTAAGTTGTCTTTTCATCAATGTGTATTTAACATTTCCGGCTCTACATGCGTTTTATTTATCTGGACTGAAGGCAAAAACGTCTCTTGGGTTTGTAAATGCTGCAGATCCTTGCTATACATAGCAGCCACACCAGAAAAAGAGGTAATATTAGTCAGGCCTGTTCTGGTTTATTTATAAAAGTGATTCAGAGCCACCAGTTGTATGGCTGAAAAGCTTAAATCAAGATATAGGCTTTTTTTTCTATTAATTTTTTTATCAAATTTTCTAGAGAGTGTATCATCAACACATGCCATTAATCCACTCCCCGCTTTAGGTTCCATCATTCACACAGCCCTGTTTAGTCTGCTTTAATTAAACTTCAGTTTGTTTGTCTAGAAAGTCCGGTTTGTTCAGGGAGGTGTAGATGGTAATTAGACTCCGATTTGGAACCAAAGAACCAAACTCTGGGCCGCCCACAGACCAAGCTGTTGGTTCGGTTGAAGCAAACTGTGATGTGGTTCAAATGCATATAGGAATGTCACGAAGATCAGAGACCACTCCAAAAGCAGGAAGTGGACTATAGCGCAGGGAATTCTGGGTAAACAGAACCATAACAAATGCACAAGTCTAGTCATAGCAGGAGAAATGGCTCATGTGTTTTTTTTTACCAAAGACAAAATAGAAATACTACAACTGTTAAATCTGATGCCACTCTATTGTTTTTTACTTAAGGAAGGAAGTTTCGCTCAGTGTCTTCATCAGAGGTTTTCGTGTTGTTTCCTTCAGTGGTTCTTGGTGCAGCGCCACCACAGGAGAGGAGCTGAACAGGTATACCAAAGGGTTTGGTTGGTTCGACATAGAGCAAAATGAACGCGAACAGCACCAGCTGAAAATGCAACATATGTTGGTATCAATCGAACAGAGTCTACCAGACTATTGAGTTTGAAAACAACCTAGAAAAACCTGTTAGTACAGGAAAAGTCATTAGTTTGAGGTATTCTACATCTCTTTTTTTTATCTCCTGCTACAGAGATGTCAACACACAGCATCCTCACTTCACTACCAGAGGAACATTTCCGCTGTTTGCTCTGTCTGGACCTCTTCACCGAACCAGTCACCACACCATGCGGTCATAACTTCTGCAGGACCTGCCTCAGCCAACAATGGAGCGACGGCGACTGTTACCAGTGTCCAAAGTGTAACAAAAGATTCCCCGTGAAGCCAGAGTTCTCCACAAATGAAGTCATGGAGGAAATGTCGGTCCAATTAAAGAGACGGAAAATCGAGGCACTCGAAAGCGAAAACGCACCGTGGCAGGTCAAGTGCGACGTGTGTGCGGATTTGAGGCTCAAGGCGTCCAAGTCGTGCCTGGTGTGTCTGGCGTCGTACTGCGACGGACACCTGGAGCCTCACCGGAGGGTTCCCGCCCTGATGAGACACAAGCTGGTGGAGCCGCTGGAGAACCTGGAGGAGAGGGTTTGTGAGAAGCACACCAGGATCCTGGAGTTTTTCTGCAGAAGGGAACAAGCGTTTGTCTGTCTGCTGTGCTGCGAAGCAGAACACAGAGACCACGAGACGGTACCTGTTGAAGAGGAGGGGGCTCTGCAGAAAGTGAGACTTGGTCACATGGTGCACAGCTGTCCAAGTGTGTAAAAAGGAAATATCTGACTTAACCACATCGGCTTTCTTGTGATTGCTCATTTTAGGTAACCATTGATTCCCAACAAACAAAAATCAAACTCATGATTGATGAAAGAATGGAAAAGATAGAGGAATTTCAAAAAACCTCAGAAATGAGCAAAGTGAGTTTCTGCAAAAAAAAAAAAAAATAGTATAAAACTGTAATAACAATAAATGTATCTTTATATAACAGGTAAAAGCAGACAACATAATTGAAGGCGGTGAGAAGCTGTTCAGTAATCTGATGAGCAGGGTGAAAGAGATTCAAAGCACACTGCTATCAAACATTGAGAAAGAATTGAGAAAATCCAAGGAAAATGTCCAGGTGATGATTCAGGAGCTGGAAGAGGAGGTTGCAGCTCTGCAGATGAAACACTCTCAACTAGAGGAACTTTCACAAAATGAAGACAACCTTAGACTTCTACAGGTTAGTCGGTCAACAAAGTCCTACATCTTACAACTGACAATTCTTAAGGAATGTTTTTTATAGCGTTACATAGTAATGCAGTTGATATCACTGTTACCTTGCTGCATGAAGGTCCTGGAATATAAATCTGGCCTGCAGGTTTTCAATATGGAGTTAGCATGTTCTTCTTGTGCATACAAGGGCTCTCACCAGGTATTTTCTCCCGAAATTTGCAAACATGACTGTTAGGTTAGTTGATCTCTCTAAAATTTCCTTAATTGTGTGGTCGTTTGTCCTGTGTGTTTCTGTGTTGCCCTACGATGGACTGGCATAATGTCCAGGGAGTACCCTGCCTCTTGCTCAATGACCACTGGAGATAGACAGTCTTCTCCATGACCCTATAGTATAACTGGATACAGACAGTTGATAGATTTGGTAAATCACTTTTGAATATTTCATGGAATGCTGAAGCAGGCTTGTGGGTCAAAGAGAATAGCAGGTCTTAGATTAAATGTTCAATTCCAGATTACAATCCTTTTGGTTCAGTTCAGTTTATTTATACACGACACCAAATGCCGTCTAAAGTCCCTACAAGAACACAGGTTGAAATCAATTCCATTGATCCAGTTTAGTAAATAAATTTTTCATTACTAGAAAACACCCATAGAGCCAAATCCAATAAGAGAACGTGGCACAGTCTAATCCTCAATATAATACAAAATAAATGCTGTAAAAAAGGGCTTACTGACATTCTGTGAATTCTTTATGTACAAATATCAAACACGCTCGTAAGTTTGACCAAACCAGAAGTTTTTTTTCCCCCCGAGTAAAGCCTTCCACAATAACTTAAGGTGGTCATTCACTAACTATGGGCAACCAAAAAAGACAGCAAGAGGCTTTTCTCCAAAAATGTGGAAGATGTGGTCATAGACCTTAACATGTTTACTGGGCTTGAGAAAACATCACCACAAGTGTCAACAAAGTTATTTGTTTCAACCTTAGCTCCATTTTATTGCATCTTTCAATTACTCATGCCATGCATACTTTGTTTGGACATATGCATCTTTTCAGACATTGCAGACTCTGAACACCATGTCGAAAACCAAGGACTGGTCCAAGACCAAGGTTTACCCAGATCTGCATGTTCACACAACGAGGACAGCCGTGGAATATCTTGTCAATGGTTTTCAAATAACACTAAGGACACTGACAAACATCGGTAAAATATATGCTGAGTACATTTAAGTTATTTTTTCATTAGAAATAAGTTATTGTAAACAACATTTTTGTTTTATCACTTTGTAGAATTGACCAAAATGAGAGAATACAAAGGTTAGATCATTTTCTTGTTATATTTATTCTTCAATGTTATGTTTAAAGTGATAATTATTTGATAATGAAGTCCGTCTTTTTTTGTAGAATCAGTGACCTTTGATGAATCCACTGCTGGGGCTGGCCTTGTAATAACGGATTCTGGGAAACGTCTCAAGTACTCAAAAACCGCAAGGCCACCAACACCGTCTTCCAAATCACAAAGGTTTTGTCTACCCATGGTTTTTGGTACGAATGGCTTCATCTCCGGTCGGCACTACTGGGAGGTTGAAGTGGGCCTGAGAAACGACTGGGATATCGGTGTAGCCCTGGAAACGGTTGATAGATCACAAAGTACTGTGAACAAAGACAGGGGATTCTATTTTTTAGGAAAGTCTGGTTTTGATTATGAAGTTCGCGATACAGCCTGTGAAGTTCTCCACCTCAGTCCCAGGCCAAGGCATGTGGGAGTGTATTTAGACTACGAGGCAGGTAGAGTGTCATTCTTTGACGTGACCCAGAAGTTGCATATTTATTCTTTCCTACAGGAGCATTTCACAGGGAAACTTTTCCCATATTTCTATCTGTACAGCGGCACAAAGAGGTCAGAGCCTTTGCTCCTACTTTCCATCCTTGATCCAGAACACTACCTTCGTCTCATTCGCTCTCTTGACCAAGCTAAAAAACCAGCTGAATAGAATCGATTGTAAGGTCAAACTCCAACTAGATCCATGAAATCCAGATGTCCTACAGAGTAAAATGACCACTGGTAAATACTGAAAGATTTTTACCTACAACCGTTCTCACTGTTTGGTTTCAGGGAAGGCATGTTAATGTAAAGTGTTGTATAACTGGGGATTAGGTCATTTCGTATCAAACACGTTTGTAACTTCCTTGACAGTAAATATGTAATGAAACAAAAGGTTTTTCTAGGCCTAAGTAATGGTTGGTGGGAATTTTGGGGGGCGGGGGTTTATCTGAAGCAAAAATCAACTTTGTACCAATGATCCTGCTACTTTGGAATGTGTTTGCCAATTTACATTATAAAGAGTAAACTAGATTTTTCTCTTGAATGTCTATAGCATTAAGCATTCTTTGTAACAGTATTCTTTTAGCCTTTCATGTTTTGGGTTCTGGTCAGTTTTGTTTGTTTCGTATCCAAATTTTTTTTTTAGGTCTGGTACAAGATTTTTCATGAAAGATTTCAGACAGACTTGGATTGATTCGCTATGGCCGGCCACATTTGGCCTTCGGGCCTCAAGTTTAACACTTGTGTCTTAGAGGAAAGTAACCAGCCTGGCCTTNGAAGCAGAACACAGAGACCACGAGACGGTACCTGTTGAAGAGGAGGGGGCTCTGCAGAAAGTGAGACCTCAATCATTTGTACTTACAGTGCTTTGCAGATTTTTGTTGTCACTCCAAGATATGTCAGATCATTTTAACATCAAAGATAATTTGAGTACTTTAAAAAGTCTTGAAACAAGTTTAACCACTGAACATTTAATAGATGAAGTATTAGGGCCATACTAAGAAAAAAAAATAAAAATGAGAACTAATATGAGAATAAAATCGCTCAAGAATAAAGTTGAAAAATTATGAGATTGCAGCCGTAATAATACAGGAAAAATGTCGGATTTATACAAAATTAATGTTACGAAAATAGTTACAGAGGAAAAACGTCAAAGAAGTACGAGAATAGTCGTGCAAGAAATAATGAAAAAAAAAAAAATTGAACTAAGGAAAAAGTTGACATTACACAAATAAAGATGAAATAATGCAAGAATAAAATTTAAATAATATGGGGAAAATTACTAAATATGAGAATCATGTCAAAATAATGAAAATAAAGTCATACAAGAAAAAAGTCAAAAATGAGAAGGAAGTCACAATATGAGAAAAAAGTCACATCCAAGAATAAAGTTGTACGAGAAGAAATTCGAAATACAATAATAAAGTCAGAATAATGTAAAACAAAGTCAGAGTATTACATGAAAAAAGTCAACATATTGAAAACGAAGACATATTTCGCTAATAAAGTCAAAGTAATGCAACAATAAAACTGTAGTGTTATGACTATTTTCTTATTATGTCAACTATTTTCATATGACTTTACTCTTGTAACTACACGACTATTCTCGTATGAGTTTATTCTGGGAATATTAGGACTTCTTGTAATTTTATGACTTTATTCTCATAATTAGAAAAGGTGACAAAAAAGAAAAAAGACAAGAACTCTGTAAGGGAGTAAAAATGCTCTCAGTGCTCAGGACTAGGCTTTACTGACAGCCATTTACTTTCTTTTAGGAAAACCTTGAATCCAAACGAGCAAAAATCAAACTCATGATCGAAGAAAGAACAAAAAAGATAGAGGAATTTACCTTGTCATCAGAAATGAGAAAAGTGAGTATCTTCATTATATTTATATTTACAGGATGGCTTAAAGTGACACTACATTCAACAATATTTGTGTATTTCGGATAGGTGAAAGCAGACAAACAAACGGAGGACGGTGAGAAGCTGTTCAGTAACCTGATGGGCAGAGTACAAGAGATTCAAAGCAAACTGCAGTCAAACATTGAGAAAAAATTGAGAAAATCCAAGGAAAAAGTCCAGTTGATGATTGAGGAGCTAGAAGAGGAGGTGGCAGCTCTGCAGAGGAAACACTTGCAACTAGAGGAACTGTTACAAAGTGAAGACCACTTTCAACTTCTACAGGTTAGCCAGTCAACTAAGCTTCACATCATGTTGAAACAGGAACCTGGTCACGTTCTTTAAAAAAGCTTCACAGAATAAGTCGTGTCTCAACATTTTCAATATGTAAAGGCCTGCATGTGCCTTTACACATGCAGGCTTTGTAACAAGACACATGAAGTTTAATTTAATCTAGAAAGTTGAAAAATTTTCAACTTTTGTTACTGTTGTCGCTGCTGCATCCTGTGTGTGTCGAGTCCATTACCCCTGATGGGGGCAGGTGCAAAAAAGCTAGCTAGCTTGCTCACTTCATATGGGAATATACTAGATTAAATCAAACTTCATGATAAAAGCTAAGACCATTGAGGAAACTTAAGGCCGACTTACATTTATTTTTAAGAATTTAAGACATTTTAATGCCTTAATTTTAGAAACATTAATTTAAGACTTTTTAATGTTGGACGGACACCCATATTGGTTAAAAATGTAATATGCTTCATTCAAACTGTTTTGGAAAAAAAAAAACATTGTACTCCTCTCACTGACTGATAATGAGAATTGTACATGTTAGCTGGTAAACGTAAGTAACCAAAGACAAACATTTTATCTACCTCCTCTAATATTAGATATGATAAAAACTCATCAGTTTCACTGAAGTCTGGAAATTGTGCAGAAATGCCAAAAAGCATAAACCGCCTGTTACTCTGTTCAGTCTTTGCAGACTCTGAACACCATGTCTGAAATGAAGGACTGGTCCAAGACCAAGGTCTACCCAGACGTCTGCATCCAAACTGTGAGGAGAGCCATGGATCACCTTATGACCAGTTTTCAAACCGAACTCAAAACGCTGACAACCATGGGTAATTATTCATAGATTCATAAATTTCTCTTGGTAATGATTGACCCTGGCAATAACAATGTTCTTGTTATTTTCCTTTTATAGAACTGACCAGAATAAGACAATACAAAGGTCAGAATCTGTTTTCTGGTGGTTTTATTTACTTAAACCCATCTTCAAAAGATACTAACCCTTCCTAAACTTTGACTTTTTTTTTTTTTTTTAGAATCTGTCACTTTTGATGACTCCACTGCTGGCCCCGGTCTTAGAGTATTAGAGTACGGGAAACGTCTGAAGTTCTCCAAAGAAGCCAGGTCACCATCTTATGAGTTAGAAAGGTTTGACTTACCCATGGTTTTTGGGAAGATTGGCTTCACCTCCGGTCGGCACTACTGGGAGGTCCAGGTGGGCCTGAGAAACAACTGGCATGTCGGTGTTGCCCTGGAAATGGTGGACAGATCAGATGAAGTAATCGTGAAAAAAGAAAACGGGTTCTTTTCCATGGGAAAGTCTGGCTTTGACTACTATGTTCATTGCTCACCACAGAGAGTTCTTCATCTCAATACCAGGCCAACGAACATGGGGATTTATCTGGACTACGAGGACGGCCGGGTGTCCTTCTACGACCTTGATAAGAGGTTCCACATTCACTCTTATGTAGGAGAAAGCTTCACAGGGAAGGTTTTCCCTTACTTCTACCTGTGGAGCAAATCAAAGAAATCTGAGGCGTTAGTTACTAATCCCTACTTGTCCTCATTCAGTCTTTCATGATCCAGCTAAAAAGGCTATCATATGGTGAAACTAGATCGCTGAAAGCCAAATATCTTCGTAATTCCTGCTGTTAAATTCACCTTCTAGTCCATTTTCTTTTCGTCCTACAATGATGTAACTTCAGCTGTTGCATTGACTTTTCTGCGGCTCCATCAGACGAGTAAAGGTAGAGTTCAAACATGTTGACAAATGTCCTAAAATGTAAATCTGCACCAATTATCTTTTTCTGCCTTGTGTAAACTGGAAAACCATTTTATGCACAAATTGTAAATAGATCAACTAATAGTCTTTTCTCTGTTTGATGCTTGTGAACATAGCATCAAGCTTACACCCTGCTGGGAAGAAAATGGTACATTATTTTTTTTTTATTCTGCTTGGGTCCTCCTACAATGTTAGGTGAAATTATGATTTATTCCTTGTAAGATATGTTTATCTAAAGTAGGGCTTCACAATTTTTGGAAAATATTTGATTTCAGCGCCATTAGTCATCAGTTTCAGGACACTTTTCTTTGTGTATCATTGTATTATGACCCCCCACCCCAATCTATGAAAGGACATACAACTCGTTTGGACAATAGGGGGCAGTAGAGAAAATTTATCTGGCCAAATTATATCCTATTAAATATTGATTCCAAGTAGTCATTTACGATTGACTGGTGTTGAGATTATCATTTCTGTACAGCTCTGATCTAAAACATTACATACAGGTAAAACATGTCACTGAATATCAATTATGTTTATAACATTCTTGATAAGAAACGTACTGAGATAAAAGTGCTTCTTTTTTGCTAATAAGATGCTTCTATAAAGACTTAAAAGCTGGTCTCCTGCCACTTATGTCAGTTATGTTGGTGTGGAATTCAATGATTCTCAAACTTTAAGGTCAAATGTCCAAATATGATTTCCAGATGAGGACGAAGGTCTTGAACAGTGTGTGCTGTGAAAACACCTTTTATCAAACAATTTATAAGCAAAAGAAAAGTCAGTTTAGAGAGACTACAGTTTTGTGGTTTTAACTCATTTTATCTTTATTACTCTGAGAAAACGTTTACAATATTTTTGCTTTGTCCTTTTTTATTCATAGAAAACTTCATTTTATAAGAAAAGTATTTATGAAAACTCCCATCAAAGTGGAGATTTGAGAAAACTCAATTTTTGTGTTTGAGTATCAAGAAGGGAAAACAAAAAATTGGTGTTCCACGCATCACAGTCTGCGACAAATTATGCGCCAATACATACACATACTTACTTTGACAGGATTCCTAAACGACTTCGTCTTGTATTTCATCAACTTTGTATTCTAATACTCAGTGTAAAAGTAGCTCAACTTCTCTGTCTGTCCATACAAATTAAATACCTTCTGGGGCCATCCTAACAGGAAGTGGTATTGCAGCATTCTGATCGGCTGATATATGTTTTAGCTTTGCTCTACACTGCCCCCTATGGGTTTGGCATATTTAAAACAGCGTTCAGGGTCGTATATGTGTGGGTTTATGTGGGTAAGAACTTTTCTCAAACAAATCCCATGTATAGTATGTTATTTTTGTTGTTGATGTTTTTTAACAATGTGGTGGAGATATTTGTTTTGATAAAGACCTGACTTTATGTGTACAAGGCTTGAGTCTTTTCCTGTTCAGTATTAGTTTTCCCACATTCATCTTGGCTTTGTGTATTTCTCTGTAGCCCTTACTGTTCATTTTCCCCCCCTTTTTGTTTAAGCACATTTCTTTAGTACGTCCTCCCTCACATATTCCCTCGTATTCCCTCACCTGCTCTGCGTTCTGTTAATTGTACTCACCTGGTTTTCTTTCTACAGTCACATCTCCACAGTATTAAAGCTCTTTGGTTTCTTTCACTTAATCACTGCTGCAGTCTACTGTTATACTGTTGCTGTCAGCCTGATTCCTGTGTGGTTTCCCTGAGTTCTGTAAGTTTATCAATTCATCATTAAATTCTAGCTCCACCACGCGCCTACCTCTCCTGCTGGTATTTGGGTCCTCCTCAAAAGCCGCCAAATGTGACAAGACGGATACACTGAAGCATTGATGTGGCCTGTTATTTTATCCAACCTTGTATTTACTAGCCAAATCATTCCTTACCACAACATCTACTAAAAATGATCCTTGCTAGCTACAGCTTTAGCGAACAAAATAACCAATTTATATCCAATTTTGGTAAATGGAAAAAGTAAAAAAAAAAATGGTACTTGTTGACTATGAAGAATATTCTCATAAAGTGACCCTGATAATAAAAAAATTCAAAAATCCTCTTAGCAGTGAAAATAATGTTTTCATAAGTACATTAATGAATATTGTATTTTCAGATTTTTGCTTCTTCTTTCGATTGATCAGATTTTAGATTCCTTGAGACAAAGGAGGGGAAATTCTTAGTTTTAGTGGTCCCAAATTTACTGAAGTCATATTTAGGCATGCTAATATTGAAGGAACTGTTGCTATTTCAGGAATAATCTTCAAAATGGGCAACGGAACAGTAGTCCCGGGGGCAGACGTGGGAGGAGAACGGGAGAAGTAAAGACTCTCGCCACCACAACATCAACAAGCACAGAGTTTGTTTCTTTCCCATTGGCGAGTACGTATTAAATAATAAATTGTCTTGCCATACATCTAGAATGTTTTCGACATAACTTTGCTTCTCAGGCTCTGTGATGACGCCGAGGCATTTCCCCTAGATGTCGCAATTCCCTGATGTGACGTCGCTGTTACGTGATGACCAAGTCTGTTTATCTCCCGCCGGCGGCACGTGTAGCTCATCTCATCCACAGGAACAAATCACAACATGCATAGATTTTATTTAAAGACGTAGTCATTTTTCCACCGTAACGCTTCAGGCATAAGTGAGAGAGTAGTCCTCCTCCCACTGCTGCGGGGCCGGTCGGATCCTGTCTGTTCCTCATATTTAAGAGGTTAACAGGTTAACAAAAAAACAAAACAAAAAAACAAAACAAAACAAAAAAAAAAAAACATATAAACCCAGAAGACCTCTCGAGGCCGGCTTGTGAAGAGCAGTTTTATGGACGGGAATGTGAGTTTAAGAGCATCCAGGAAATTACAGTTCTAAAACCCCGCCCTCTCTTTTCCCGCACAGAGGTGCGCCTATATCTATATAGGAACAACAAAACAAGAATACAGCAGATAAGAAGCAAACTTAACTCTGCTAAAGCTTCACAAAGGACAAGTTGGCAATACTTTTTAAAGAAGGGTATGTCCTTTTAAATTATTTTTTTTAGATTTCTGTCAGAGGTAAGTAATTATATACGCTGTTATGACAGGTTTTGTGTTTTTAGTGACTTTTCAGTGGGTATGTTTAATTTTCACTTCTGATTTCTAAATCTATGGCCAGAAAATAGATTTTGCTCTAAATAAATGGCAGCAAGCGAGACAATCAGCATCTCATCTTGATTTATTATTATTATTATTATTATTATTATTATTATTATTATTATTATTATTAGTATTATTATGACAGCCTTTTCATTTCTGATTTACTGAATGATGCGTCACATTTTTAATGTCATTAATGCTCTGACCTATCACAGTCAGGGATTAATAGTACTGGCATGAGAACTGATATTTGTGCCAAAATACACAAGTACACCTGCATTATTAGGACTCAACTTGATTACAGTGCGTAAATTAGAATAAAACTGGGATTTATGTAACTGAATATTTTCAATACTTTATTCTGTTTAATTCTGTTGGAATTAAATTCCTCAATATTTATGGTCCTGTTTGTCATTTAAAGCATGTTGAGGTAGCATTTGTCTCTTTGTTAATCAGTTGGGTTGAACGGAATTACCTTTGAGCCAAAACGGCGACACAAACGACAAACTGCAATAAAACGGATCACATGACTCAACTTTGCCAAAGGTCAGCCCTTTGCTGCTGATGGCTTTTTAAGAACTCATTTGAAGGTTAATTCAGAAAATGAAGTTTGACTGCATGTTTCAGGTCTCTTAAGTTTTCTTTGATTCTGATGACATGAGTTGATGGGAAATAAACAGAAAGGTAAACACAAAGAGTCGGATAATGATTAGGTTTCTGGATTGTTTTTGTTTTTCCATATCGTCTTGGCAATGCAGGATTGTACAGGCAGATGGATTTGATCAATTTGCAACTGGCAAACCAGAAAACAAATTGAACCGTAAAAGGTATAATCTTTTACAGACTTTAGAAAGGACTTACATGGGCAGTATCCCAGGACCCCAATTTCCAGGGGAGGCCCAAAAGATTTGAGGTTTAAAATTTGTCAGACACCTTAGCGTTATGTTGACTTTTGAACAAACTCTCATTGACGCCGCATCATCAATCATTCATCTCGCATCAATGCAGGTCAGGGTATCTATTTTCATCCACTGTAGACATATGAATAAAACTAAACAATTAATTCCCCAGCTTGATGGATTTACAAGCAACCGACAAACAGGAAGACAATTCTGACTTGTAAAAGGTATGATTACTTAACAGCTGAGTCAAAACCAAGACACGCAACATTTGTTGTTGTGTAAACCTTCCAGAAATCTCAGGTCTTCTGGTTCTGGTCTCCTCTGCAGCATTCAGCTTGTATGCATCACAAATCTAGAACAAACTTCTGGAAAACAACAAAACAGCCAAAACACTGAGTTCCTTTAAATCAAGGCTTGAAACCCACCTGTTTAGAGTTTCTTTTGATTAGTAGTAAAAGCAATATTGACCAAGATACTTTATGCAACATTGCTTGATGATGGTATTTGACAAAATGTAACGTTTATTACTCATTTCATAATTCGTTACTGTATGGCAGGGGTGCCCAAAGTCGGTCCTCGAGGGCCGGCATCCTGCATGTTTTATTTCTCTCCCTGGTGGTAGTAACAACCTCCTCAGCAAGTCAATGTTCTCCTTAGGTCTTCTAATGAGCCATCAATTGATGCAGGTGTATTAAACCAGGGAGAGAACTAAAACATACAGGATGCCGGCCCTTGAGGACCCACTTTGGACACCCCTGCTGTATGGAGTTTTTATGGTTTAAAGCACTTTGAAATGCCTTGTTGCTGAAATGTGGTACACAAATAAACTTGACTCCACTCCTACAAACTGTACCCAACATCCAGTTAAATGTGAATCCGTTTCGTACAGGTTGCATGCTGAGCCTGAACCTGATGTCAGCGCCTGCTGACTGCTGCATCTGCCTGGATGAGTTCACCAGCCCAGCATCCCTCCCCTGCGGACACAGCTTCTGCCTGGAGTGCATAGGAGAGTATTGGAGGATCAGCGAGAGCTGCCAGTGCCCCCTCTGCATGGCGGTCTTCCCCAAACGGCCGCAGCTGAAGACTGAGCGAACTGAAAGCGAAGCCAAACCGCTCAAAGCGGGAGAGGTCCCGTGTGACGTCTGTCCGGCTCGGCGGGCCGCGGTCCGGTCCTGCCTGGTGTGCCTGGCCTCGTACTGCTCCGCTCATCTGGAGCCACATTATCAGAGGGAGGACCTCGGACGCCATCTGCTGGTCAGTGTGGCGAAGAACCTGGAGGACTCTGTGTGTCGGCTACATGGGAGGAAGTTGGAAAAGTTCTGCCGGAGTGACCGAACCTGCATTTGCGCCACCTGTGCCAAGACGGAGCACAGAGGCCACCATGTTGTTTCTATCAACAAGGAAGCTGCTAAGAACAAGGTAAAGAGGTATTTTTGTTTTTGTTGGAACAAAAATGGATTTTCTAGCAAATTTTTGTGAAATTTAACAAAGTTTGAACTATTTTTTTTTTCACCTGAAAAATTGAGCTAAAAGCATTATACTGAGATAACTAGCACCTCCTGAAGGTTTAGAATCATGTTGGCCAACCAGAAGATTTTCTAAGCTATTTAATCGTCAAGCAGCATAAATTGAAAAAAAAAAAAAAAAAAAAAAAAAAAAAAAAACGGGTGATCCAACTTTAAAAAAATTTGTTACAGGTAATCAAACGAATACATTTATTTGGTTAACTTAAGTTTATAAAGCAAGCCTGACAAATGTATTTTTTTTATTTTTTAAAGTTGGAGTGTTTAAATATGTCAGCAATATTTTTTGTTATGTGTGAGTTTTGTGGCTTTCTGTGCATATTTTTTTTTATGATATATTGAAGAACCAATTCAACTTTTAACAAGTCTAATTGGTCTATTGCAAATGGCTCTTTGGTTCTACCACAGATGTTCTTGATAATTTTAAAATATTTGTGCACAAGCAACTATTTTTTTTTTTTTAGAATATAGAAAAAAAATCCAGGCTTTAGCTGGTTTTTAGGGTTCTTTTGCATGAGATATTATATTAAATTTCCACATCAGAATAAGTATCCATAATATTATTTTCTCTTTATGTTGAAATCTAAGTGGGAATTTGTTTTTTGTTGTGAACATCATTTCCCACAGACATCACCATTCCATTGAAAGAAAAGAAAATGTATCAGAACTCCTTTTTGTAAAATGTTTTATGTTTTTAAACCTAAAAACTAAAAAATGGTGGGATTTTTAAAAGATGACCACAGCATTTCTAAAGTAGACACATTACAAATGTTGAAGTTGTCTTTTCACAAATGTTTATGCAAGAATTGTGGCTCTAAAAGAGTTTTATTTAGCTGAACAGAGGGCAAAAACAGCAGGAAAACACATGCATCCTATTATAATAGCAAACTGTAACTTCAGAAAAACGGCACTGTCTTTGATAAAATCGTCGTTCTCTCCGCAGACTAAACTGAAGCGCAGACGAATGAAGCTTCAGCAAGAGATTCAAGAGAAGCTGAGTGTGGCTGAGGACGCGGAGCGGACCGCAGGCCTCCATGGAGGAGAACTTCCACCAGAACTTTGGGCGCAAACCAGGAAGCTGATCAAACAGCTGGAAGAGGAGATCAACAAGCTGCAGGAGAGGAACGCGAAGCTGGAGCAGCTCTTACAGACCGAAGACAACCTCCACTTTCTGCAGGTCTGACATGTCGCCACAAGTCAACCCACTGAAAAAGGAAAAAAATCTAAACGGTTGTTTGAGTTAATGGATCTTTTTGTTTCTCCGCAGCGATTCCTACACTCCTGTTCATGAGCGGAACGACAAGATGCTCGACATCTGTGGACCAAAGCAATAAAATTGTGACATAATAAAAATATATATTTTGTTCTATAAAAATATGAGCTCTTAGAAATCTGTCTCCTTTTGTAATTTCTATGCACACCTTCCCACTCTGACCAGACTTCTGCAGAAGGCCTTCATTAGTTATTTTATTCATTTAATTTGAACATGACAGAAGTATAAACACATGAACAAGGAATGCAAAAGACATATTTTGTATTACAATAATCTCAACAGGCTCAGCATGTCATAACTGAGCTAAAATAATATTCTATAGTGGGTATGATGTGTGTGAGATTGCCAGAACATACACAAATATTTTATGACCAGGAACTCTGTATTTAGATGGCGTTCAATAACGTATACTGGAGTCGTTCTTCCCTTTGCAAAGTGATTATATACTGACTTTCAGTGCATGTTTTGGGTTTTCTCTTACTAACACTAGCAAGTCATCTTACCTAGTTTAGTGGTAGAATTATCTCTTCTTGACAAAAGTTGTCAAAAAGTTGTGGATTCTTTTTGACCTTTATTGTGTAATCCCCCCCCTGAAAATAGCAATTTCATAGTGTACAAATCTCCTTTATTCCTCTTTAAACAATGAAATATTTCCCTAAGGAAAATATTACTCTTCAGAGTTGCACTAAAAAACAAATTCAGTTTTTTCTATTTAGTCATATATTTACGCATAAATTGTGCTCTCCAAATAATCTCTCAATCAAAAGATCGGTATGCTTTTAGTCCTTAGTGCTTAATGTGTCACTTTCCACAACCCAAAACTGTACAGCCCTCATGATCTCTTCGGTTTTATGCGGAATGGGCTTCATAGTGACTGTAAACGTTACTACCTACCACCAGGCAACATCCAGCAACATGAAAATAAAAGACGATGACTCAGTTGTACACCTGCTTTCCGTTTCTAAATGAAGGAGGTGTCTGAATTGACCTATTATATAGAAATGAAACTTGGCACAAGTAGGAAGTCAGAAGGGAACAGGGTGTACACTGCTAACGGGAGCGGCTCAGCAACCTGAAGGTAAACCTCTGCTCTAGGTCTTCTACTTCTGCTTTTGTAAAATTCTTGTGTTTAATCTTTTCTAACACTTGTTTTGGAACATTTAGGAGTGTGGTTTATCTTATTTGAGACTTGTATATTGTTAATCTTTTCACGCTCAGGGCATGTAGTTCAAAATGAAATTCTCTTCTGTTTCACAAAGAATCAAGAGAGTTGTAGCATAAAAATCAGCTTTTTTGACTACTTCCTTTTTGTTCAGACTCTCAACAAGACAACTAGCCAAACCACCACACTCAGGGTCCACACAGTTTACCTTTGGAATCTTTAAACAAAATAATTGAGTAAAAATAAATAAAAAACAGAAATGTTTTACTGCTAAACACCATAACAAGGATCTAGCAACATTTTCCCTCCCTGGAAAAAATTGCAAAATCCCAGAAAGGTGAAAGGGCACTATTTTCTCAATAATTGAGTGGAAGAGCTTTGTTTTTTTTCTTTTTAAGAAAGTGAAGGAAAGTTATCTCAACAGGAATTGATACAATGTAGATACGGTAGAGATAAACGTATGCGTCACCACTGCTTGCAAATCAGCTACTCATCTAGTTGATTTGGGTGAAATAACGGAATATAACTTTTTCTTTTTTTCCAAATCCAACTAAAAAGCCACAGAAAACCACTGGCACTTTATTTCACTCAGCACATTAATTACATGGCAGAAAAGATTTTCCCACAAAGATATCTTAAAAACATTTTGAAACTGACCTATGACATTTTGTTTCACAACAAGCAGTGCTTTATTTAATCAGTGTTTTAGATACAACAAAACATTATGAAGTAACTTTGATGCGCAGTCCTGTGGGCCTCTTTTTTGAAATAAGATAAAGAGGTCTTAAAATAACCAGTTATTTCCAATTCATTATCAATTACATATTTATTCTTATTTTTAATTCAATGTTGCGTACTTGAACCACATACAGATTTTTCCATTTTACCTAAATTGCAATATTACTCATTTGCATTCCATAGCTTCTTACATTTACAAACCAAATTTAAAAAGAGCTTTTAGATACTTGAAACATCCACCTATCCATTAGAGTCACCTTGGGAGCTCTCCAGCTGTCGTGGATTTATATATATATATATATATATATATATATATATATATATATATATATATATATATATATACCCAGCCATATGTTGGCCATTCTGGTAAATCTGTGATAGAACACCTTAAAAATTTTGTAAATATTGCATAACCTACCTCAAAATTAGTCAATATATCAAGTTTATTATTGGCCAACCGTCACAAACCAGATTTTCTGACCATTGAATGATGGCAAAATACTTCTAATATAATTGTTAGTATGAAAGACATCAGCCAATGCAAGTGTAATACATACACTACCTTGATTGATCATTACTGTTTATTGCAATGCTCTTTACTCTGAGTTACAAAAAAATATTTTAGAGGGTTGCAGACAGTTCTGAATGCAGCTGCTGGTGTTCTGACTAAAACCAAAACATATGTGCACATCCTTTCATTGGCTGCCTTGTTGGCTCGAGTAGACTTCAAGATCTAGTTGCTCATCTACAAGGCTTTAAATGGATTGGCACCCTCTTATCTCTCTGACCGTTTGCTCTCAGATCACAAGGCACTAGTCTTTTAAAAATCCCTCAAGTGAGAAGAAAAACTGTTGGCTAGCATGCCTTCTCCTTCCGTGCCCCATTTCTGTGCCTCGGGACATCAGGCAGGGAAGCTAGCTTAAAAATCTACTTGTTTAAGCCTGTCATAGTTTTAAACTCTACTTTCTGCCTTACTTTCTTGGTATTTTATCTATTTTTAATTTGTGCTGGTCTATTTTTGTCTTATGTCCTTGTAACTGTTCATCACTTTGTATGAAAGTGCTTCAAAGTCATTATTAATGGTCCCACTCTATGTTACTGTTTGCAACATTCCAAAAGTAGAAATCCAACATTTTCTAACTGCGTAATCTTGTTTCGGTGTATTTTGGCAGACATGACCGCCACGGCCAAATCCGTCAAAGATGACTGCTTTCTGGAAAGACACCTAAAATGCCCCATCTGCATGGAAACATTTACCGATCCTGTGACCACATCTTGTGGTCACTCCTTCTGCATGAGGTGCCTGGAGCTCAGCATCGCCTCATTTCAAGTTGACTATGCTTGTCCCCTTTGCAAAAAGCATCTGAGGAAAGCTCCTAAGGTGAATAATGTCTTGAGAGACATTGTCCAAGAGGTGAAAAACACACTGAGCCAGACGTTTACTGGGGCCGCCGGCGAGGTGCCCTGTGATGCCTGCACGGTGCCCAAGAAGAAGGCTGAAAAGTCCTGCCTTGTGTGTGTGGCCTCATTTTGTTCAACCCACTTGGAGAACCATTATTCAGCTAAAAGGCTGAAGGGCCACAAACTGGTGGAACCTGTGGAGAACCTGGACACAAGGGCCTGCCCCACTCATGGATGCCCGCTCGCGCTTTACTGCAGGAAGCGACAAAGATGCGTTTGCGCTCGATGTTTGGATGGAGACCATGGGAAAGTTGTCTCTGCTGAAGAGGAATGGCAAGAGAAAAAGGTATAAACTTCTTGATTCAATTAAAGTCATATGAGTGTTGAGTATAAGTTTCTGCAATATGCTGAACAAATACAAATTGTGTAGGTGAACAACAGTTGAGGTCAAAGTTACAGAGGGACATTTTTCAAGCAATACGGAGAAGATGTTTGGCAAGATTTGCTCTTGTCTTCTACAGGATCAAATCGAGAACACCAAAGCGCAGTTACAAGAGAGAATCATGACAAGGAAAGCAAAGATTGACGAGATCAATGAAGCTCTGAAGAGTTGTAAGGTACGAGTATAACAAAAGAAGTCAAACTGTAACCACTTGGTTGAAGTCTGAGATGCCGTCACAGAAAAAACAGGAAAAAGAAAAATTGCACACCCCCTGGGCAAATTCTGAAGTTTCAGGCCTGCTGAGCATTTACCCTGATAAATCAACGTAACAAAACTTCTTGACAATTAATCATACAGTTGGAAAGTCCATCTATAACCACTGAAATAGTGTGATGACTATAAGCGAAATGCATCTACATGTTGAGCAGCAGAGTTGAGTACTTGGGCTACAACCATGCAAACCCGGAAAAATCTTCTTCTCCAATGCTAATCAACTTTTGTCTGAAATAGCTGGATGGTGTGGGGTGGCATTCACCTCCCTGGAAAAACCCTAAGCATTGGAGGCAACCTAAACCACTGGCCATCAAGTATCAATGCTCAGCTTCAGAATTTGGGAGAGAGGATTAAGGAATGGCCTGCCTCTTGTCCTGAACATAACTCCATTGAACACCTTTTGAATCTGCTTGGTAGTGGTTTTAATGCCTGTGACAAGTATTGGATCTGATGCTATCCTACAACAGTGTGTGGTCAAATTGGGGATCAGAATAAAGCTCAAGTGCCATGCTGTTGGGGTTGTTAAATTCCCAGTATGTTTTGGTGATTCAAACACCATTCAAGCTTCAATAGGATTGGTAAAGAGAATTTGAGACACAACCCACACTCAATTCTCCTACTCAACTTTCTTAAACATGGCCCAATCAAAGAGGGGAATGAACAGTCTGTGTCCTGTCTCCACAATTTCAAGCATACCGTATTGAGAAGATTGGTGCCTATGTGCCGGAGCAGATTTGCTCAACAAAAGGAATATCTAAAAACGGTATCCTAATTATACCATTAAATCCAGACTGCACTCGGCATCGTCCAGTCTTCAGTCATTTAGTGTATCAGTGTCGCAAGAAAGATATTCAATCAAATTTTTGTGTAACATCATAAAAACAGGAACATTTTGGGGAAAAAAGTAAAATTTTTAAAGCATAATTTTTTTTCATTTTTTAGGAGGATGTTGGGAAAGAGTGGTGGGATATTGATGCTCTGTTCACAGCTGTGCTTGACGTTGTGAAGGCAGCTAAGGGAGAGGCGCTAAACCCACTTGAAGACAAGCTGCAGTTATTAAATAAGGAGTCAAAAAACCTCAAAGATGAGTTGGAAGATGAAATCAACAAACTCGAGGCAACAATCTCAAAGCTAGATGATATATCGGCACTTGAAGATCACATCCTGTTCCTACAGGTCAGAGGTAAATGCAAGCTTTACCTTAAAAGCTTGCATCCGTTTTCAAAATCCTCATCAAAAAAATGCATATAAATGATCATTTCTTCTTGATTGTGTAGAGATGTTATGATCATTAGTTTAACTCTGTTGTTTTTTTAACCTGTTTTTCCAGATGTACCCATCTCTTTCAGTTCAGGATGTTATGAAAGACTGGACGTACATTGAACTTGACACCACTCTGTCTTTTGGCTCCATGAGAGAAACCGCGACAACAATGATTGAAAATATTCAGCAGCAGCTGGAGAAGCTGGCCACCATTGGTAAGACCTGACTTTATAGTGATGAAACCCAAATTGTGGATAGAATGGATCAAAAACAAATTTTCTCTTCACAGAACTTGCGAGATTCACAAAGTTTGAAGGTACATTTCACTTTCTTCTCTCATACTCTGTCTCAAAAACAGTTGTTCTGTTTCTGAAAAATGCTTGTTCCTTCTCCTCCAACTTTGGGTGTCCAGTGGATGTGAGGCTGGACCCAGATACTGCACACCAGCGCCTGGTTGTCTCTGATGATCGCAGCAAAGTGAGAGACGAAGGAGAAAACCAGGAAGTGGCTGATTCTCCGAAGAGATATGATGTGCTTGGCAGCGTCCTGGGACTCAACACCTTGGCAACTGGGAAGTCCTACTGGGAGGTGGAGGTTGGCAGCACAAACGGGTGGGATCTAGGTGTAGCCAGGGGCAGCGCTAACCGCCGGGGACGACCAGCTTTAAACCCAGATAATGGCTACTGGGTTCTGGTACATTTTGAAGAGTGTGATGTACCCAAGCCATTTACAGCATATGCAGTCATGACGGCTCCACCTGTTTCACTGTCTTTTAAAGACCAACCAAAGAAGGTTGGGGTGTTTGTGGACTATGAGGAAGGCATTGTGTCCTTCTACGACGTGACGGCCCGATCTCACATCTACTCGTTCTCCAAGTGCTCATTCCAAGACGAGCTTCATCCGTTTTTCAGTCTGCACATGAAAAATGAGATAAACTTTGAGCCTTTGATTATTTCAAAAATAAACCATACAAAAATGAATTAGGAATGGAAGCAGTTGGTCTTCCATATTTGTTCAGTCAGAGTATTCAGACCTAATTTTGTGTGGTAGATGAAGAGTATTCAATGATTTGATGCATCACAAAAGTACATTTAAAAAGCTTAAAAATCAAGCTAGCACAAATTGTATTTTTATCTATAGTAACTGTAATTTTACAAGAGAGAGTCGTTATTTGGAAACAATTTAAATCCAGGAAATTAGTTTGAAATGCTTAGTGTGAGTCTGTGTGTGAATGGATGAATGAGGGTTGCAATCTAGGCTCTAGACCAGTGGTTCTTAACCTGGGTTCGATCGAACCCCAGGGGTTCGATGAGTCGGTCTCAGGGGTTCGGCGGAGCCTCTGCCGTGGAGGTAAAGACACTTATATGAAGTCGTGATGACGCCCCGCTTTGCCATCACTTGCTGCAGAGGATCACGTCACATTGCTTAGCCAATCAGCGCTGCGGAGGAGCACTGATTGAAGGAGCTCCACTCTCAGCATGGATTTGAACTTGTGTCTTTAATTACTTCAGCAAAGCTCACCGTTTTTACCAAATTCTGTAGTCTAAATCAGAAGGGTACGGTGAATGCGCGTATGAAACTGGGGGGTTCGGTACCTCAAAAAAGGTTAAGAACCACTGCTCTAGAGTCAGGGTATCTTTACTATCCCCTATTGGCAATTAGTTTTACGACATGGTGAGACTTTAAGGGTCAGTGAAACAAGGAAAGAACTATTATAAATGCAATCTTTCACTCTGCTATACTGTTGTTGTCAGCTTGACAGATATTTGTCTGTATAATCATCATGAATGTTTATTTTCTTCGCTGCAATTTCATACCTTTGTTTACTTGTCATCTTGGTAGACAAAGCAACAAGAAGTTTGGTTACACTATCATTTATAAAACTTCTGAGTTTTTAATTCTTGGTATATTGTTTTCTGAAAGTTTGTGACATAAAAACGTGGTTGAAAAAATAAAAAAACATGTTGTGTTGTACCTGAAATTTTTCATTCAAGATGGAAGAAAAAAACCCTGTTTTTTAAAAAGTGCCCATCTGCATGAGACAAATTGCATGAGACATTCTTGAACTGCAGTTGGGGAGACACAAAATTATTCCCAGTACCGCAAATGGACGCAAGGGCGCACTTCAGCTGAAATATAAGTTTAGAATTTTACTTCTAAGTAGCCTATAATTATTAGTATTATTCAATTCAACACTTTAAATATGATATTAAAGATCAGTCAAAATCAGCAATAATGCCAACACGCCCAGCCATATGCAAATAAATGATGTTGCTGCGTACCAACCTCCTTCCTTTACATAAAGGAGGTACCTGTTTGTACTTTTGATCAGAAATTAAACTTAACACAGGGAGGAAGTCCACAGAGAAGGACACAAACACTCACTAGGTGTTAGTAGGCAAAGGAACCTGAAGGTAAATTTCTGCTCTAAATGCAATATTTTTCATCATAAACTTTTGATTTAAAGCAGAAAATTCTGCATGCTTTTATACCTCGATCTTATAATCAAACAATGGGAGTGACAAACACTCTGATTTTACAGTGTGTCACTTTCACCTGATCTGCTGAACATTGCTGTATGTAAATGAAAGTCACCATAGTTTGGGGCCACATAGAACAGTTCCAGTTAGCTTTACATGGTAACATTTTTGCAATCAGTTGTCTGTTTTCCAGCAATGTAGATATTGGGAGTGTATTTATTTGTGGTATGCGTTTGTGTGTATTTTTTTATTCTTTCAAAAATTAGACCAACACATAACTGAAACAATAAGAGGTCCCATAGAAGACATACAAACAATAGCTTTTCTCCCCTCCCTTTTTCTCCTTTGGAACAGAAATGAAAGATGAAACTTTACAAACACTCTGAACTCTTTGGGTTTTCCAGTCAAACAGGCTTCATTCACACTGAGCAACAGAGACGATTTCAAAACATAAAACTTCCAGTGAAAAACCTCTGGGCAAATGAAGAGATTTGATCTGTTGCACAACATCCAACACGCCCCAGCCACATGCAAATAAATGGTGTGGTTGCTCAGCTGCGTGCCAGCCTCCTTCCTGTGAATAAGGGAGGTACCTGTTTGTACTTCTGATCAGAAATGAAACTTAATACAAGAAGGAAGTCCACAGGGACGGACATACACACTCACTAGGTGTTAGTAGGCAAAGGAACCTGTGAGCAGAGGGAGCGATCCACAACCTGAAGGTAAATTTCTGCTCTAAATGCAATATTTTTCATCATAAACTTTTGATTTAAAGCAGAAAATTCTGCATGCTTTTATAACTCGATCTTATGATCAAACAATGGGAGTGACAGACACTCTGGTTTTACAGTATGTCACTGTAAAACCATAATGTATGAGAGCTTGAAGTGTGTTAGTTTACACAGTCAATTTCATCAGCTTGTAGGAAGTAATGGCAAATTGTAATTCTTTTTTGCAATTTGTTGAAAATTAAGTAATTTGTCTCCTAAACAAAGTAAAAAAAATGAATTGTGAATTCCAAATATAAAATAGAGTCCAGGAACAGTTCATTTTCTGAATTGTAACACCCGTGCATAACAACATGTCCTCTATGTGCTGACAGACAGTTGAGCATACATTACAAACTAAATGCACAAAATATCATAAAAAGTTATACAACAGCACAGTCTGTCTATCCTTGACCTTTAAACCTCATTTGTTTACACTTACTGGCAGTTCCACAGCTTTTCAGGCCACCGTCTGCTCACAGTGCTTTCATGCAGCATGTTGGTAATTATTAATGATTTAAAAATATGAAAGCTTTAATAAAGGAGAAATTCAATGCAGTTTGTACAGTGTGTATACAGAAATGTACAGGCAGGCCTCCGTACCTGCTCACACACAAACAGTCCTTCCATGCAGCATGTTGGTAATTATTAATGATTAAAAATGAAACATTTAACAAAGGAGAAATTAAATGCAGTTGATGTATAATTTGTTTACCGACATATACAGTTAATAAAATTCAATCAAATCTAACTGCATGTATTCCAATTCAATCTTAGTGAACATTGCAGACAAGTCAGTTTATTAATCAAACTGCTGAATAGAATAAAACGAAAAATTAGATTTACACACCAGTTGAATTTTTCTACATTTTGTCACATTATAAATTAAATTTTCTATACATTTTCTAGCCCTAACCCAGTTTTCCATAGAGCTTTATTGAGGACACTGAAACATCTTGGAAGAAAACTTTCCCTGAACTTGGTGGTGGCAGTGTCATACTGTGGGAATGATTTTCTTCAGCAGCAACACATAAAACAGGACTAGAAGTTCCCTTTCCTGTATTATTATTACCACTCTAAACATACATCCAGAGATGAAATGACATTGTTAAATCCAAATATACTAATGTGTTAAAATGGTCTAGTCAAAGTCCAGAGTTAAACCTTGAGAGTGTGTGGCAAGTCTTAGAAATAACAAAGAAAAAAAGCTAGTGCATTAGCTGACGTGTGCCCACCACTGTTGACCAATAAACTGGTTGTTGATGCAGTCTGTGTTGTCATTGAACCAGATTTTAACCGACTTGTTAAAAATGATCTTATGGTTAACCAAGACTTCAAGACCATTTTTATTTTGTGTAAGGTTTGAGAACCACCGTTCCAGACAACACTCAAATTCATTTAAGAAACTGTTACACCAACATACTGCTCTTGTGTCCCTCCTAACTTTAGTAGCTAATCTTTTCTGTAACTATCTCTTCTGAGATATTTTTTCATGAGCAAAAACAAAAGTGTAATTTAAAAACATTTTAAATGTTAGGAAGCTTTAATTTAACTGAGATGTTTTCTTTAACCAGACATGGCCGCCGTCTCTGTCCCAACCAGTGACGCCACGCTGGAGAAGAATCTAACCTGCTCCATCTGCATGGACATATTTACCGACCCGGTCACGACGCCTTGTGGTCACTCTTTCTGCAGGAAGTGCCTAGAGCTCAGCATCTCCCCATATCAGGTGAACGACATGTGTCCGCTTTGCAAGAAACATCTCAGCAAACCTCCGGACGTTAACATTGTGCTAAGAGACATCGCCTCACAGATGAAAAACACGATTAGCAACAGGAGTTCTGGGACGCCGGGGGAGGTTACCTGCGACGTCTGCAGGGAGCCGAAGCAGAAGGCGGCCAAGTCCTGCCTTGTGTGTCTCGCCTCGTATTGCCCAGACCACTTGGAGAACCATTCGACTCCAAGGCTGAGAGGCCACAAGCTGGTGGAACCAGTGGAGAACTTGGATGAAAGGGCCTGCCTAGTCCACGGACGCCCGCTTGAGCTGTACAGCAGGAATCAGCAGAAGAGCATCTGTGTTCGATGTATGGAAGGAGGTCAGGATGAAGTTGTCTCCACAGAAGAGGAATGGCTCAAGAAGAAGGTGATCTAAACTTCCTGGTTCATTCATCTGTAACGTTATACTTAAACCTTTCATTGTTTGCTAAAGAAAGTTTAAGAGACACAAGCTACTGTTGAACAGTAGCTAAGTTGTAGCAAATGTAGGTTGAAATGTTTAACTTATGCCTGCTTGTTGTATTTTACAGACTGAACTTGAGAACAACAAGAAAGACTTAGAAGACAGAATTGAAATAAGAAAGATGAAGATGGATGAGATAAAAGAAGCTCTAAAGGATTGCAAGGTAGGTAGAGGAGCCAACGTGTTTGATCCTACACAGATCATCCAATCAGACGAGTCTGTCAACTAAAACTGAAGGACCAGCACCAAGGTCAAACCCGTTTGAGAAAAAATTACCAAAAATCTAGAGCTTGTTGGAGCAAGAATCTTCAATCAAGGATCTACTACTAACACTTCTCCACAGCTGAAATGTCAGACAGAATTTACTTTATTTTAGACTTTGTCACATTTATTTAAGTTTACCACAAGAGGCATTTTAGCTGGTAAAAACAGTCAGAAAACAGAAATCATAAAAAGTCAACTTAATCAGATTTTGCATATTTCTTCTGCCATTTAATTAAAACTCTAATTGAGCTCAGGATAAAAGATAAAACCAAACTTTATCAGTATGTTCCGCCTCAGTTGGAACATACTGAGATTTAGCATTAGCCTAAATACTAAATAAAACATTTTGGCAAATTTTGTATTAGATGTAGACAAAGCGGGTCTGAGGAGAACCCGGAGGTTTTCATAAAGGCCAAAGTTATTCATTTTGCTCAAAAAGTCAACGAATCCCATATGCCGAAAGAAAAAAATAAAAAAATTGAGATTTTGTAAAACCATGCACATGCTCAATAGAAAGCAACTTCCCCTTTATAAACCATAGCTTCACCTCAGTGATTGCACACAAGGTTCTGTCATGGTCTGCCCTCTGCACACCCACATTCAACCATGTTTTGGTGAACACCACTTTTACCATTGGGCATACGTAGATTTTGCTATCGATCCTACGCAGCTTTTTATAAATGAGACCCCAGATACTTAGAAATTGCAATGTTGGAACATTATTTACTAAAAGCAACAAATGCCACTGGAAGATAACAGTGAAAAAAGGTGAGTTAAAAGCAGCTTTTAAAATCGTTTTTCTCGTTTCCAGGACCTGATTGAAAACGAGTGGTGGGATATCGAAGCGGTTTTCACAGCGCTGATTGCCATTGTAGAGACAGCCCAGAAGAAAGCTCTCAAGCCACTAAAGAACAGAAGGGAGGTGATGGAAAAAGAAGCAAAAGACCTGAACGATAAGCTGGGAGACGAAATCAACAAAATTGAGAAAACGATCTCAGAACTAGATGACGTCTCATCACTTGAAGATCATATACTTTTCTTACAGGTCAGAGGAAAATCACTTTAGCTTGTAAACTGGTTTGCAAAGTCATTACAATGATTTATGTTAAAAATCTGTCTTTTTTTGTGTCTTTTCAGAGATACCCGTCTCTGTCAGATCAGGATGACATGACTGACTGGACGGATGTTAAACTTGACACCACCCTGTCTTTTGGCTCCATGAGAGAAACTACAACAACAATGGTCAAAAAAATTCAGCAGGAGCTGGAGAAGCTGGATGCTATTGGTAAGAGTTGACTTTACGATGGGACAGTAATAATAACAAAAATTGCTAGCATTGATGAAAAACTTCGATTTTCTCTTCGCAGAAATCAAAAGACTTCCAACATTTTCAGGTATGTCTAACATGTTTGAAATTTTTTTCTCTAAAAGTGTCTCGGAAATAATAACAATATCTGCGTTTCCATTGACTGTATAGTTGCATGATTTGACAATTGGAAAATAAATTTACTTAATGGAAACATGAAATTAGCTTATTTTGGAAAACTGCAATGGCATAACACAAGTCAAATCAATGACCAGAAGTTGCCACTGGCAAAAACCGTGAAGAAGAAGATGTCAGGAAATAGTTGGAGGAAGTTTTTAATGACTTATTGTGTGAAGAAACTTATTCATAATTGCGTTTCTTATTTAATAGAAACACCACAGTTAAATTTTTGTTTTCACATTTTTAAATATTAAAGTTTTGTGCACATTTGTAATGGAAATGCAACTCCTGAGCTCATAACATTGGATCTCAACAGTGAACGTAAAGCTGGACCCAGAGACCGCACACCAATGCCTCGTACTTTCACCTGATGGAAAGGAAGTACGAGATGGAGGAGAAAACCAGGACGTTGCTGATTCATCAAAGAGATTTGACGTGTTGGGTAGCGTGCTGGGACTGAACAGCTTGACTTCTGAGAAGGCTTACTGGGAGGTGGAGGTCAACAACAAGACCGGATGGGATCTAGGCGTAACCAGAGGCAGCGCCGACCGTAAAGGGAAACTGACGCTGAGCCCAGATAATGGTTACTGGGTTCTGGTACATTATGAAGCGGAGAACTACGCCGCCATGACAGCACCACCCACCCGTGTTTCCCTTGAAGGGAAACCCGATAAGGTCGGGGTGTTTGTGGACTACGAGGAAGGTTTGGTCTCTTTTTACGATATAACAGCGAAGTCTCACATTTACTCGTTCACAGAGTGTCCGTTCAAAGACGAGCTCCACCCGTATTTCAGCCCACATGTGAAACAGGAAGACATGAACTCTGAGGCTCTGGTTATTTCTACTGGAAATTACTTTGAATTTGATGAAGAATGAAAGTGTTTGGCTTCCATTTATGTTTAACCATTCCAGTGGATGTTTGTGATTTCAAAACTTGGATTTGTTCAGCAGAAGACTGGGGGAAAATCATGATAAATTGCCACAATTTATGGGGACTTTTGTTTTTGTCAGCTTTATATAACATTTGCTGAAACTTGGTTGTGATATGCAAGTTATATGGTTCAAATGACAGATTGTAATCGCTGATAAAAGTAAAATCACTCAAAGCAACTTCCTACATTTCGGTTTGATTTAAACCTTGTATTTTTACAGTAGAGGTGGGCGGCTCGCCCCAAAATATCGATAATATCGATACCAAGTCAGTGTCGGAATCAGATCAACACTAGTGTGTTAAGATAGATACTTTAGTTTCAGATTCCCCTTTGAAATTAGTTTTTTTGTTCAATTTTGGTTTCTTTACTGTCTGATGATAAACGAAACTTAAATATTAAAATGTATCGATACTAATGAGATGCATTTCAGATGAAATATGCTCATGTTTTATTTTATTTTGTTATTAAAGAAGATAAGCAAGACTCTACCCAAAGTCTTGCCCCTGATAGAAACTACTGCAGTGACTGATAGGCCAAACAAACAGAAGTAAAATTCAAAGAGATAAAAAAGAAGAAACACAGAGCAGTACAGGTCCAGCTGACAGCAGAATTTCTGCAAATTCTGTTAAATTTTAGAAACACGGGCAATTCTCTGTCATATTCTAAGTGTGGCTTGCCTTACAAAAAGCAAGAAAACAAAGTTGATGTTTTAGTCTGTGGTCTGAGGTGCATTTACCCAGATCAGTAGCAGTCATGTGAATTCTCATTTATTAGTACATTTGCGCAGGAAATAAGGAAGAAATGTTTGGGGTTTTTAGAAAAATGTGTCCAGTCATTGGTCAGGTGTAACATGTCCAAGCTGTCTAGCACTGTTTAAAAATGCAATGAAATCAGAAACAGTATGCTGAAGTGATTGTCAGTCACTTTGAAAAGCAGTTGGATAAGTCTTACATCCAGATCTGATCAGTGTGCAGTACAACTAATATTTGATCCACACTGACCAATGTTTTATGGAGACACAGTTTGGGATGAAAAAAAATATGTTTTTTTAAGACATTACAACAACGGTGCAGAGGCCTATGGCTATTTTTAGCTTTCTGTGCTAATCGTAGCAAATAAAGATTTTTGGAGGGTTTTTTTCACACTTATTTTGTGATTTTCATGGCTATTTCCGTTAAAATTAAAACATAAGTGCAAGAAGTTAATTACCCAGCAGAACAAGTAAACAATCTCAAAGAAATTATGATTTTAAGGAATATTTCAAATCTTTAGCCTAGCATTTCTTTAGCCATGCTCATGATATTTCTTTTTTAAACTTTGATTATGTTTAATGCTGTCAACACCTACTTAAAACAAATGACTCAGGTATTTAAAAACAAAAAGTGTTATTAAAGTGACAAACTTGGATTGAACGCTGTGATAAAGCTGTATAACTCAGTGAGAAATAAAAAGTGAAACCATGATGCTTTTTTGGTCAATATAGGTGTTCCACCTTCTTTTTGGGCTTGAACATGATGAAGGAAGCTTTACACCTAGTTTTAAAGTCAAACAGGTGTCACTATTAATCAGCACACACTCTGTAAACATGAACTCTCATTCTGCAGCCCATCAGTTCCTCCCACATAGTCTTATCTGTGGCTCAACATGCAACACGCCCCACCACGTGCAAACAGATAGTTTTAGTATTTATTTTTGTGCCAGCCTTGCTCTCTCAATAAAAGGCTGGACTTTTGATCAGAAATGAGACCCACACACGAAGGAAGGAAGTCCAAAAGTTGCATCCAAAAGGTAAAAGTCTGTGGATCTGCAGTATTTACGCACATATCAGTCTGTTGTGTTTGCTTCTTGTAAGGATATGATTAACACTGATACTCTGTCCCACATTTTTAGCAGCGAGTGCTGATTTTACAGTGCAAGGCAGCATGTCAGTAGTTGGGCAATTCTTTTCAATCATGAACTAGTAACCCTGTGGTTGTTCTCTCTCCATCAAGGGCAATTCACACAACAGGTTTATCACCATGATGGGCTGTCATGAGGTTAAACTGTCATGAGGTTTAGGATTCTAGTTTAAGATACGCAGAATTGTTATTTTTAGGAAATGACTGTTTTGGATTTAAAAAGTGAATTTAGAAGTCTGATAAAAATTCACATGTACATAAACAACTCAACCTGCACAGAAAAGACGATCAAATCAAATGATTTGATAATGTAAAAGGAATTACAGTGAAACCTTAACTTAATACTTT